AGCAGATGTCAAACATTTGTGAAAAAAGGAAGGTCTTGTAGAGGTAGATGAGTTGTGGCATAAAATGTCAAGAAATGTGCTGTGGAGATGCTAAACAGTTTCTAGGAATCTTTTAAATATTTAACATTGTGTCATTTTCACATGTATATAGTTGTATTAAACTGATTAACTATTTGAAGTAGAAACCAAGGACTTACCTTTGCTCAAATTTATTCAGACCAAGTATAACAATGGCTAAAAGCTAAAGAGAAATCAATATTTAAAGGTGCCGTTTGTCAGATTTAGCATACCCTATTCAGAGACTCTGCAGTCTTAAAAAATATGTAATATTAGCTACACATGTACATCAGAGTCAACATTAGCAAAATGTGTTGGGTTTCATTGTCATCTTTGGTGTTTTGCTTGTTTGCTTCATATAAAGTGTAGACATGGGATTTTTCTGAAACAGCCAATTGAAACAATTCTGTAGTAGTAGAGTGAAAATCCATTTATATTGGGCTAAAATGATGTCAGCTTAAAGTGAAACTGAAAAGAAGTATTGGAACTGAAAAATATAATTTTAAACAACCCGGGATACTTTGGATCCAAAAATACAGCCAACTCACAACATTTCTGGTTTAGTCTTTATTTAAAAGGATTATTGCAGTTCTACACACTGGATTGCTGGAACCATTAAGAGATCTGCAACAGTGAGGCGAGTAACTGAGACAGGATTGTTTAGCAAAATCTTGCCCAGAATGGGAATGACCAACCTGTTGAGATTATTGCATATGTGATGGAGAAATCCCAGGAGAGATGTGGCTGAAGTTATGGTCCATGTTTGGTGACATGGGCACCACTCTTCAACAGGCTTAAAAATCCAGCACAAAGAGAAGAGTCAAAAATCAAATGAGGTTAAAAATGAAAGAGCAAAACCTAACCAGACAAAAAGCCAGCAAAGAGCTGGAGATGAGATGACAGAAACAAAAGTTGACTTACTTTTAACTTGGCTTGAAAAGGCTTAGTGCATCTAGATGCAGGTTCTGATAATTTAGCACTACTGCTGCGGCTGGGAGAGGCTTATATTCTGAGCAGCACAGGTGGAGATAATTAGGCACAAGTGAGCTGGGTTTGGAGTGGGGACTCAAAGGTTCTGACTTTCTCGTTAAAAAAAATCAGCTGGAATTTGACTTCCCATTGTGGGACAAACTCAGTCTATCCCCAGTCAGAATTTATAAACGCAACTTTGCGTTTCAATATGGCTGTTCTTCACATCAAAATCAATAATTTGTGGTGAAAGCATATTTATCTTGCAAGAATCTATCTAAAATATAAGCTGCAGAAACATCTCAAGGATGATCAGTGAAAGAAGCTTAATTTTGAGCTTCATGGCAAAGGCTATAAATACTTATGTAGGTGTGATTTCTAGGTTTTCCATTTTTAAAAAATTTGAAAAAAATCTCAAACATTATTCACATTGTCATAATGTGTGTGTAGAGTTTAGGGGAGCAATCAATTTAATGCAATTAGAAATAAGGCTTTATCATAATAAAATGTGGAAAAAGTGAAGCACTGTGAATACTTTCCAGATGCACTGCACCAGAGAAAAGCTTGGTTTGTTCAATGCAAAATCTATGACAGATTTTCCCATCAACACTGGAATAAAACATTAAAGTTGGCACAAAGCTCTTTAAATAAGTATGTGAAAGAGTAGAATCTGTGTATCAGGAGACCTGTTTAATGGATACCTCACTCAGATCTTCAAGAGGAAGCACATGCAAGCCCACCATCATTGTTTGCAAGGAATAAAAACATAAATACATGTTGAACAGCCAGTGCTGTCGGCGTTTACATTCTTGTACATCAAATTCAAGAACAAAGTCAAAAGAAAATGATCAAAGCCATTCTTTCCCATGTTGTGAATGAGGAAGTTGATATATAAAAAATCCATTTGAAGTTAGCAAATTAATACTTTTATTCTCTGTACATTACTGTTTTTGTTCTTTTTAGTTGAAGATGAATGTAAATGAAACTGAAGAAATGTAAACACATGAGATTTAATTTTACGGAACCTCCTAAAAGTAAGTCTGGAAAAAAATATTTTTCCTAAGGCAACGTCATACATGTTGAACCATCGGATAAGAGAGATGCTTATATGGTTCTACACTGAACCACATTGACGTTTTCTTTTTTGTTCTGTTGATTCCTAAAAGAAACTTGTTAGTCTAAATGTTCGTCATGATCCCCCATCCTCCACACTCTAATTTCACAGTGAAAAGCAGTCAGTCTCATTTTTTCTCAGTTATTCAACTGCAATTCTGCCACCACAAGTATCAGTAAAAATGTCCTAATGTACTATAGCATTCTGAACTCCTTCCACTGGAAATAAGCAGCTGAGCCAGCGTTTGAAAAACAACACACAATGATGCCCTTTGCACCAAACTTGGCACAGTGTAGCAAAACAATTACTGATCTACTGAGACCTGCCAAATCCCAGATTTATTGCACAGGTGACATGATGCTACCAGGCTGGAGTTCCTCAGCGTGGTCCATTCTTTCACAAATGTTGGTTTCAAAGAAAATTTGGAAACGTTGTCGAACTTATCATCAACGTAGAGACGATCAGTTGTTGCTGGTGCCAGCCCAGTGTTGACGTGATAAACTTGTCTTGGCCAGTAACTCCTGTAACTGTATGGCTGTACTCACTGTTTAATTTGAGATTTTCCTTTGAGTAAAAAAAAACAAAAATTTTATAGTTCTTGGATTTTTTATTACTTTCCCCCTTTACTATTAACAAAAATCTTGGGGCAAAAATTGTGCATGTAGCCCACATCTTTTTTTACATCTGTGGGAGTGGGCACATGTACTTCCTAAACCTAAATGTTACTGTTCAGTTTACTTTTGTTTTTTTTGTGGTGTGGCGCTCTCTTTGTAAGTTAAATGTGGCTGTGCAGTGAAGCTAGCTTCCACTTTTGTTGCTGTGGCTTATTTGTGAGGTTTTCAGCGCCACACACACAATGCAAGTTGGGGATGGAGATGTGCTCATGTGGGTCAGGGTCGAAGATAGTGTTGTGTGTGTCCGATAATAACCTGCAGGCGCCCCTGGTCATGGCATTGATCCGGTATGGACAGTCCTGCTTCAAATTTTCTGATGACCAATTCATGTTTGGTTGAATGTGGGCTAGATACCATAAGCTGGTATATGGAGTACATTCTCAGGACCTAAAATGCTGCCATCAGATAAATAAATTACAGTTACTTCCTTCCAAAAGTTTTATACATCCTCAAAGCAGTTGGGGAACTCTCTTGTATAATTATGGGACATGGGGAGAGCGCTCCATTTATGATACACCCCAGAGGATAACATTCTAACAGATATTGATGCCTTAGCCCAATGAGACAGGGCCTGGATTTTGTGAGTTTTATGTTAATCATCAGCTGTTAAGAATAGCATTCTACAAAAAAAGTTTTTTTTTTTTTCAATTTTGGTTTTCTAGAGTACATGTGAAATAAAGCACAGGAGCATTTGTGTAATCATTCATTTTTTTTGAAAATATTTTGTGAATTATTTATTATAAAAATATAAATGTTTTCACTACAAACCATTTTACATTAGTAGACAAGGCCATCTACATTTGCAGACAAACTCACACAGACACACATGTCAGTCTTTAGACATAAAATTAGGGATCTGTATAGGGTCTGTAACAATATTGCTCTCTCCGATGTCTCAGGTTTATGAAGTTTGTGTTAAAATCATATCAAGACATCACAGACACATAACTTAATCTACGCTCAAAAATCATCAATGCATTGTATAATGTTAGCAAATAAATAATGTAATCATAATTGCCTTTTTATTGTAGAAAAAACTAACAAGTATGATTCAAAGTAGGATAAAATATAATACAGATGATTTTTTTCCTCAATTTTAATTAAAAATGTTGCACAATTTTTATTCAATCATTTATACATACAAACATTTGTACAAAAAAAATGGATGGCCAGGTATATAGTGAGATCTGGAGTGCTAGTTGCTTTCTTTATGATGGTTTTACATTATGTACATGCTAATTTCAAACACATATCAGCAACAGCAGCATCCACAGGTAGACCAAGTAAAGGAAGACAGAATTGACACACTGAACAGGGCTGGGTTTCCCAAAAGCACCAACAGCACCCCTGTGCTTTAATCAAGCTTAGTCTACAGCCAAGGCAAAAACGTTGTCATTCAAAGTGCTACAGTAATGTGTACCAAGTGCTTAAAGAGGCATAAAGACAGCATCTTCATTGTAAATATCACGCGTTCAAGAGCACAAAGTACCAAAGTGCCAGTTCAAAAATACTGGGTAAGTGTTGCACTGAGGGACCAGCTGGGTGACATCAAAGCAGAAGACTAGCATCGTTAAATATGTACTCAATTTACATAGATATTTTAAGGTGCCTTTAGGAAATCCCATGATGGACGTGGCATATCGGGTTACTATTTCAGAAAGCAATAACTTATTGGATGTATTGCATTGTTAACAGAACATTTTAATATTGAGTCAGACTGGGGCAATTGATGATTGAGCTACACTCTAAAGAAAACACGAGAAACACTTACTTTATTACATTAAACTAAAATAAATGTTTTCTTGGTGATTCCACCATAATCAAGACCAAGTACAGGAGGCACTCTATTTTTTTGCTTGGAAAACAACAAGATTCATTAGTTCGAAGTTAGTTTTCTGTATTTTTTTTCAGTGTCGTTCAAATTATCTGAAACCAAAATTTAAAAAAGAGAGAGCTTTTTCACATGGCTTTATTCAGTGAGTTATTGTGTGAAATCTTCAGATTGACCACCTTGTTTACATACTTACTTACTTACTTTACCCATCCTAAAAATAGAAAAAAAAAAAATCAGCTGTTTTGAAGTCTTGGCGCTAACTTGTCTTTCTTAATCTCACAGTCATATTTAAAAACAACTCTGCATCACAATAACATTTCATACCGACAATTGGGTTCCGGGACTGTTCATACCGACAATTGGGTTCCGGGACTGTTCACCCCTTTGCCATTCTGTACCTCCATATCTTAGCTATGTATTGCTACTTAGTTCTTTCTACTTCCAGTTCATACTTGTAAACAAACCATTTCTTATCCATAAAATTCAAATATTGCTTATCAGTATTTTTAGTACATTTATTAATTAGTAACATAATTCCCTCTCAAGACATGAGGAAATCTCCAGAATAATTAATCTTAACTGTATATTTCATGAAAAATATTTGTACTACACCATATCCCCATCTATTTATCACCCCTGATCAAGCTACAGTAGCTCTGACTAATCTCCTGCTGGGTGCCATTATAAAGTGAAGTCATAAGGGATCACTTTAAAATAAAAAAAGTGAGTATTACTTAATGGATGATAGGTGCGAAGAGTCAAAGAATAGATAATGCTGTTGTGAACCCAGAACAGCTAGGTTTTGAACAACCACAATTACAAAGGTATGAAATGGAACAGGGTGAAATGACCAACAACTGACAGATCACTTTTTTTCTGTTTTGGGCTCCTTGCATTTGCTTTGCTCTAAGTATTTCCTTTTCACCTTCATGTCATTAAATTCCTTCCATCTCAGCTTTCCACCGGTTTCCTGTTGTAGGAAAAAAAACAGGATATACTCATCCTGAGATTTCACATGAAGGTGGCGGGTAATAGTAGGTAACATTAGCACATGGAACAAAGATGTCACAATAATGAAAATTCTGGGTGTGCAGTGTTATGGCCAGTCTGTCTTCAAAGCACAGCATTTAACACATAACACATGTAACATACCCATGGCTTCACCACGATGAATGGATTTGATGGATTACAACCTTATTGCTTTTAGTGGCATGTCTACTGAATGCAAATGCTTTATGTTACAGCTACAGAGTCAAACAGTTGGTGAGTCCATATGAGTTTGGCCATGTCTTGGACTGAGTACTGAATGTAGGTAGCTGCAACTCATATCCCAGCTTCAGACTTCATCAATCCAGATGAAGTCAACTGTGGATGTCTGCCATGCTCTTCTACACATGGCATATCAGCTGTTCTCTTCCCTTCGGAAGATGCCAAGGACAGCTCCAGCATTTTGTCTGTCCCTGCTATGTTTTCCAATAACGACCAGGCTTGCGTTCCTCGTAATGTCTTTCTGACCTCCTTACCTTTTGTTTTCTCTCTCCCCCCTCGACTAGTCAGTAAGGCATCTCGATGTGGGCATGTAGGGAGAGGGGTGAGCCAGTCAGCTTACAAGGTAGCAGGTCAGTTCTGAACCCGTTCCCACTTCTCTGTTAGAAAGCTTTCAACAATGCGTAAAAGACATCACATGAGATATTTCTTTTTTTGTTTTTTCCATCCATTTGCATCTCCATATTATTTAGATATGTAGCCACTGTGTTAGTGTGTGTAAACACAGACCAACAGAAAAGTCTCTGGTGGTTTTCATTTCTTGTTATTGTTTTTAAACAGGTACTGGACCATTCTTGGTATGGGATTCTAGGGCTTTCAGGCTGCTCACAATCTTCTTTTGCGGTCCTGCAATAGTCACTCCAACCTTTTTCAGATCCCTGGTGTTTGAAGAACATTAAGAAAAAAAAAGAAAAAGAAAACAATCAGATAAAGAGAAGAGAGGAGATAAAGATTTAGATGAAAACAGTCATACCCATCCACTTTTTACATTTTATCTGACTTTTGTCAATTGCATCACATTTAGCTCCATCCATTCTCAAGAAAAGCATCCCCATGACTAAGTTGCTTTAATCTTTACATACACAGTATGTATTTCTAATTTTTGATCTTAATTATTGATTTTATGTATAATAAATACATAAACATTTGAGCCTGCAGGACAACAAAATGTAAAATATGCAAAGGGTATGACTTGCACAGTATAAGAGATTGTGAATGCAGTAGTTGTTAAATTTGACAATATGGCAGAGATGTCTGGTTAATATTTTTTGTTGCACATGCATTCAGTGAAAGAGCAATTATCCAAAAAAATGTTTGGGACACTTAGATTATAATTGTTAGGAGCGTTAAGTAGCAGAGACCTGAAGGAAAGAAACACAATTAATTGTTGTTAGCAAACTCTGTAGCGACTGGCAATAATTTTGAAATACATAAATTACTAAAACTACACAAACAAAACCCTTAATGTGACAACAGTACACACAAGGCAATGCTACATGTCAAAAAAGTGACTTTTTTGTTATGTTTTCCAGAGTAGGGAATTAAATTAGTAGAATCAGTGCAGTTACATACAACATTATTGCAGTACTACAACACAAACTTTGCCATTATTAGATTGCAAGTTGTGAGAGGAAGCCCAGCAGCAGCTCTGGAGGTAAAGCTTTGCTCTCAGACAGGGCCTGGGCCTTAGTCCTTAACCCACCATCCAGAGCCTTTTTAGGGTGGAGAGGAGCTGGGCGTTAGAGGGTGGTGATTCCCATTGATGGCTCCCATTCTGGGCATGTAGCTGGTGTGATGTGGACCTCCGTCAGAACCACTCTACTGAAAAATAGCCAGGCCCATCAACATGTTATACAAGGTATCAATACGTGTTGGTACATCCGGGATAAAATCCAACACTTAGTGTATTTTAACAGATTTTGCAAGAGATTCACTTGAAATGAGTTGATTGCTATTAGACTATTTGTCTCTTTCAGAAATTCCTTTATTTGTTGAATTAACTCACATGACATTACACAGTATTTTAAATTTAAGGCACCCTAGTTAAAGGTGTGTAAAAGACCTCAAGTTAATCCTTTTTTCTTGTGGCTGGATGATTTCACATTTGAAATGTGTCAAAAAAATCCAACATTTAACTTGAGTGCATTTCAAATATTTAAAAACTAAAATTGTAAGCTAATTACTGGCTGTTGGTCCATCTACAATCTTCATGACATTTAACTTTTTACTTAAGCATAAAACCAACTTAGGTTTACTATTTTCAACTAAGTCAGAGCTAATTTGTGACTTTCTCTCTTCCCAACATATGAACATGATCTTGACCTGACACAAAAGAGGCTTTTCTTTTTTTTAGATCTTCTCCAGAACCCACATTGAGACTGCCATCAGGCACAGAAAGCAAGGTGGTGAAGAAGTAAAAACTTTATTTTCTGAGACTAACTAGAACTGTGAATTACTCAAGCTAGCCTAAGATTGACATTTTTGGAACCAAACACTTTGGGTGGGTCTCGGTTTATGAATTCATGGGCCTGTTTTTCCTTCTAATGGCCTGGGAACCTTAATAGAGAGCATGGCATCATGAACTCTTTGAAATACTAGGAAATTTGTCATACAAATCCATTAGTCTCTGACTTGAAACAGATGACAATTAGTTGCTACAGGATAATATTACAAAATATATGCAGGACTCAACACAGATATGGTTGCTCCAAAAAGCTATCAACCTTCTTATATGACTCTTTCAACTTCTTCAAATAAAAAAAATGGTAAAAGAAATCACTCTTTCAGTGAATTGTTATTGGAGAGGCATAATCGATTTCTGTTCTGTTGGCGAAAGGAGGTTAGACAGTACTGAGGGCCAATGACTCACTAATTTCATGACACCGATTTCTTCCCTATTTAATAGAGTAACACAAATTAATTTAAGAGTTGATTTTATGATGTCTGAAGTAATCCCATTTATGGCAAACAATTTATTGTAGAATTTCAGTCCACGGTGCAAAATAAAATTTTACACATCAGTATGCTATTTCGTGTGCTGTGCAGTTTAAGTAGACATTTTTTCACACTGACGTTTGCTGATGGAAAATATGCTGTTCCAAAGTGGTCAGTATTTTTTCATTGGTCTATCCCATTTTTGAAAATGGGTTAATCAATTACTCCAGCAGATGAGTCAGCACAGTGTGCAGGAGTATGACTGTTCATCTAAGGTCAGAGCATTGCCAAGCCTTGTGCTGAATGTCAAGGACTAGATTAAAACTGTACAAATCAATAGAGTAATCTATATTGAGCAATACATAATCTGAGCCAAGGCTCTTAGCCTTGTAGCTGAGCTTGGTGTCTTAGATGGAGTCTTCAGTGGATGAATACCACACTGATCCAATCAGACATTTACCAACAGGAAAATCACTGAGGACCAATCCAGTTTTTTTTCTGTGTGAGATTATTATTTCCATCCACTGCCAAAGAAGATGATTAAAAAAAAAAAAAAAAAAAAACTTTCAATATTTTAACAAAATCTATTGAGTAAATGGCTATAGATAGCAAACCAATGAGGTTTTACAAACCATTGGAAATGGATAAAATTAATAGAGGGGACAAGAGCCAGACACAAAAAGACTTCTTCAGAATAATGATGGCCAACTGGTGAAATCAGCTTCATAAACCAACATTATCTAATTTTTTACAAACTTCTTCCATCTAACATGTTTAGCTCAACACTAACGACTGCCTGTTTTTAGAGGACTCACTGAAACCAGATTCTTTAAAACTCAGTTTGAGTACAAGTACTTACATTTAAGTATGTATGTATTTGTTATTCATTTTTTATGTATGATTGAAGGTGTTTTACATCACAGACTTAGTTTTAAATATTCTGCTATTAATGTAGAATGGTCTAATACAGATTTTGGAGTATTTTAATTTGATTAAAGATACTGAGTGTTGTGAAAAATTAGGTGTATTTGTCCTTTAGCCATTTCCCAAATCAGAGGCTACAGTTGCAGGCCCACTTCAGATTTATGCAATGTTATGTCTGCCGTGTGAAGATAGTAAGGAATCTCACATGTCAGCATATAGAGAAGGCATCAAAATCCCAAATTCTCATCAACAGATAAAGTTAATTGTCGTCTTCTTGTCATGTGACTCATGTTCAGTTGATGGTGCGATACTGTTGCTTGCCGGGTTAGAAAAAGTATATGCAAACTAAAACGGTATCAGGGCCTGTATTGTCAGAGGACACACACACGATGTCAAACAGATATTTGTAGTGACATCTGTGAATCTCTGAAGAAAAAAAAAGAAAACAAAGAAACAAAACAAGTGAAGGACTGGGTAATGGCATTTGTAAAGGATGTCATGACCTATACTTTTTAGACCCTAAATGGACAAGAACTAGCTCAAGTCAGAGCTGTGAACCTAGTACAAAATATTTTGGTGATGAACTATGAAGATGAATCCATCTGGATAGTTTATCTGTTTGTTTTGGAATCTTACTCTGTAGATGTCTTGGCCAGGGTGTCACAGGAGCTGTAGCTGACCCCTGAGAAGGCCTCCTTGCAAGGCAAGGTCCTCATGGCATCCATCCAGTCACCCATCGTCCCCACTGAGGGAACTTCTGCACTGCTCCTGTCCAACAACAAGTTCGCTGGTCTAAGGGACAGAAGAGACACAGGCGGATGACCAATAGAGAAACAAATACACAAAAATGCCACATGATCTGTAAGTTTTCATAACATTTAATAACATAAGAATTCAGAGCATCATTTCAGGAAAACAGGTGGATAAGCATCACCTCGGTCATGAACTGACAAACTGATATACTGGCTGACAGGTGCTGTCTGGCTACTATTCAACCACAACTTGTGCAAAGCAGCTTCTGCTATGTGATTTAAGTGTGTACATAGTTTATATTGCTGTCGTGGCTCCAAGCTAGTCCCGTAAAGCATGTGCCATGCAAGCAAATATTTGAGTGGGGTGTGATTAACAAATATTTCCCAGAAGGGAAGACGAAGTTCAAAGGTGAAGACAATGGGGGCTCCAAATCTCCCAAAATCTCACTGACACTTATCATCTATTTTCACAAGGGTACTGTAGAAGATAGAAAGATATACATATATGTGATACATTTTGAGTGGTATAGAAACAATGACATTCAGAGGGTTAATGACGATGCTTTCAGAAACCATTTAAATTCTTGATGCAAAAATCTACAATCCCTTTATGACACCTAGTAAAGAACATATGAAATGCCAGTTCTTTCATGGAAGTTAACCAAGAGGTTTTACATTTTCCATGACTGATGGTCACCTTTACACAGCATTACATTATAGCTAAGAAAAACCTAACAGTTGTGCATGCGTGTCTGTGTGTATTTGTGGGAGTCAATTATTTTCATTATATATATTTAGAGCCAAGATTGCCATCAAAACCAGCATCCTGTTTCTGTTTAACTTCGTTACCACTTCCTGCTGAGCATGTACTCTGTAGCAGAATGCAAAATTGGATTTTATTACAGTGGATGGTTCAAATTAGATCAAATGAAATGTACCATGTTGGCTGGTGCTCAGTACAACAGCCAACTAAAAGATACGGAAAGAGGAGAGGAAGCTGAAGATGACAAATGAACACAAGTTGATAGGACATCACGTTTTCAATGTCACTCACGATGCTAAAGCGGTGTGGCTTCGTTCGCAGTTGGGGAAACTGGATCACATCAACGCAGTGAATATGAAACCAGGTCAATCTATCTAGAGATCAAAGTGGAACTAACGATAACAGCAGAGCACTTTGTGTCCTTTCTTACGTTTTAAGGACATGCTCCACCTGTCTTCCCAAAAAGGCATCTGTACCGAGACAGGACAAAAAAGAGTAATGGAAAGCAGGAAAGTACAGCACCAGAGAAAGAGGTAGAGTTCCCTGGGGGATACTATTCATAGCAATGTAAACAAACTCATTAGAATACCAGGAAGTCCACCTCTTTCTGACAGACATAATGCCGCTGAGGGGTTTGAGGCAATATCAGTGGTAGTTTGTGTGATCTGGGGAGATGCAGCTCAGAGATAAATGCCATAATAGAGATCATAATAGAGACGTTTGAAAAAGTCAAGAAGTTTATCATGTTTCAAACAGAAGGCCTTTACACAAAATGTGTTTTAGTTTCCATTCACTTTCAACAAGAACTCCCAACAATTATGCATGTTCTCTGCAGTAAGCGTGATGCTGAAGTAAGGATGGCTTTAAGAGATTCAAAATATAGTCAAGAAAAATTTACCAGTCTGCTATTAGACAACGCCATCAAAAGCACCACACTGAGGCGAGGCAGTATACTGAGAGAAGAAAAGAGACATGGGATCCTCTAACGGAGACAGTAGGAGAGAAGAAAACGGTGGAGGGAAAAAAAAGATGCTCTTGAGGTGGTGGAGTGGGTGTTTTTACAATGATTGAGTCTTTTCCTGCCAGATCAGAGGCCTGTCAAAGTGCTGAGGGCCCCCCAGGACTCTCTGGAAACACTGGTTTGCCTGAAAGGGAGGGACTTTGTAGCTGGATAGAGGGGGTGGTTTGCTTGAGAGGGGAAAAGACAAAAATATGAATATTTAATTTTTAAAAAGTTTGTTTGTTGTTCTTTTTCTTTTCTTGCTTCTTTTTATTTAAATAGATTGATTTTAGTTTGCTTTATATTGTGTAAAAAGCAACTCAGTTGCAAATTATATATTAAATTCTGCCAAATTATGCTGTTATAAATTATGGAGCTTTGTCTTTCTTGCAAGACTATTGATCTTTTCCTCCATCTTCCACCTGTACCGATTGCCTTCGTGTTCCTTTATTCTCTTTCTATATTCTGCTTACATTTCCCCCTCTGCTGAGTCCACTGGGAAGTAAACTGCAAATGACCTTGTTTCCTCCCTCTTATCATTTTTTTTATTTCCTATGTTGTTACATTTCTTGCGGCAACTCAAGAGACAAGATTATTGGTGAGGAAAGAGAATGATGTGATGCAAGGGGATAAACAAAGAAAAAGGAAAAGAGAGCATCTGTTTGATGCCAGAGGATGTTTTTAAACCCTCTTGTGGATTTAGCAGCATATAGAAATGCACAAAAATCCCCTGTTTGAGCAGAAGTAAGCATAAAACCACTGCAGAGAATTAGTCTGGCCCCTTTATTGGTGTCAGTTCTTGTGCTTTGTAGTCTGTCTTTCAATTTTCCAGGCTTTCAAATACCACAGTTATGTAGCTTTTTTTCATGGAGCTCACAGAAGAAAGAGAATAGCTGGATGAGTGCAACTTTAACAGATAAAGTAGATGTGGAAAGGGCAATGAAGAGACAAATGACCTCACAATAGGTAGCAGCGAAGGGAAATCTGAAAGTTCAGAGATTCAGCTTAACTGACATTTTTAATGCAGGATGTATATCTGTTTAAAAAACTGTGAAGGAGGACAACAATTCAGAACTATTCTGATTCCTGTAAAGCCCACTTTGCTAGAATTTGGACAGCCTCTGCAGAGAGATTTCTTGAGAGTTTCTCCCATTTATGTGTGAGGGACTGTGAGAGTTCACACTGTTCTCTGAAGGAAGACATGTGGGAGAATGAGAAGTTATTTATCAGTGATGTGCAACCAGAACATTCTATTTAAGAGAATCTGAAACAACCAGCCTGGCTGCATTACCAAACTTCAGTCATCCTACAACCACACCAGCATGGTGGCAATGAAGTATTTCTTGTAATACACAGATTGGTGCAGCTGCTATGCATGTTGCTTTGGTGTCCAATAAGATATCCAGGCAATGGAATAGATAATCAACCATACCCACTATTTATTTACAGAGCTATGTTTATTCCTTTGCACAAACAGATTGCCATGCTCTTGGTTAACCCCTTAACTGTCATGACATTATGTCGCTACCAAACATTCTTAGGAGCTTTGACTGAGAAGTAGTTTGGATGATAAGCTCAGCACAGTCCCACCAGGTGTTTGACAAATGCTGCTGCTACTGCTAGACTGGAAGAGCTGATAGGTGGAGGAGAGGGCTGCTCTGTGAAGAGCTTCGTGAAAATAGGCGGCACTGGTTCTGTGTGAACCAGTGTGTAGACGCCCCTAAATAGCTCCCATGGGAAATTCAAGAATTCCTCAAACATGCAAGAAAAAAAGCAATTCTCAAGGTATGTTTTTGATTAGGCTATAGCTTTATAACATGATGTGAAATTTTAAAAAGTTGAGGTTTTTGCTTGATGGAACAACTGCAGCAGATTCAAGGTGGCTTGGCAGTCTCACCTAAACAGGGACGATAAACTTTTCCAAAATCACCATCTGAAAATACCAGCTGTTTCCAGACAGTGGTTTTGTGTAAACAAAGCCTCAGCTCGGTTAACGTCACGCAATATTCGGATTGAAAGAAAAAGCACCTGCAGAAAATATATAAATACATGAGGGCAGCGTGACAGACTACATAAAATGAGATTTGAACATATTTTTCCTATCAGGCAGTATTCATATTGCACTACAACCTTTCAACCAATTATATCACTAGGTTAGATTTTTTTGCCACTGCCACACTTTTTTGATCAAAATGAACAATGTCTTTTCTCAGAAAACACAAAAACCTACAGTTTCATGTTTTAAACACCTTGAAAAGCAATTTTGACAGTGACCTCCAACCCTGATTGGACTCCTGTTGGCCTATAATTTGTCTCTGACAGCCAACCTTGGCCTAGTGACCCCAACTCTTTTTCCATCCACATGCAGAGACAGTAAACTCTAACCAACTTCCACCTCCCAAGTCTCCAGATGCTCGACTCTGGTCGCAGGCTTCGGTCCGGGGTTGGGAGGGAGGGGGGGCAGCCTGCCAGGACAGCCCTGAGACAAACGAGGTGTGTTGAGCTGAGAGCAGCTGCTCCTGCTGTGCAACTGCCGCTGCCACCACACATTCTCTCCCTCGCTTCCACATACACACAAACAGATCCGCACTAGCAGTTCTAATAAATCACCAAGCAGGACTCAGTTGGCCAGGCCGCGCTCACCCAGTGTTAAAAGCCAATCAAGAAAATTACATGCAAACTCCAAGGGACCTATTTTCACTTTCTTAAGAAATCATTAGTCAATGTTATGAGCTCTGACATCTCCATAATACCGTTGCCGTCTGCTGTAGACCCAACGCCCGTCTCTCTCTCCGCTCAGAACTGACAACTGTACATGTGCTGCCCTGCTTCCCCACGGCCCCCTGGGAGAATTGTCGCCCAAACAATAGAGACAAGCCCAGTGGAAGAAGAAAATAAGAAGGAAAAAAACACAAGGAGAACAACAAAAGGGGGCAGGAGGATGAAGAAGTGCTGTTAAAGTCAAACAAAAACAAAAAGTAGTGTTTTTATATATATATTTTTTAAAGTTTTGCCAGTTCTTCTCCCAGAAGAGCCTTTCTTTACAAGTTTTGCATTATGCACTGTCAAGGTGAAATAAACTGAAAAGAAATGTTTTCACTTTCACAGATTGTAATACTTTCTTTTGTATGTTTATATTGATTAATTGAACCTTTATTCACAAACAGTAAACTTTCAGTTACCTTTAAATTGATCATTTAAATGCCTTTGAGTCTTTCTCAAAGGCAGGAGGCTTAATATATTAGTAGAGAAAAAATATGATTCTGTACATTTAGGCTGGAGCAAGAAATATCACCACAGCTTATAAACACGTTTGACTGCAAATCAAAGCTGAAGAAAAAAAAGAAGAAATATTTCTTTTGTTCAAACTGCATTCACATTTCCCAGAATTTACTCACGTAGATGATTGTAAAATATTGTTTGTTTTGGAAGATCTGGCTTAGCAAATGATGGTATATCCTTTATTGTTTGTTTTTCTGTGCTATTTTCTCTATGTGCAAAATCCCGAATGAAGGAAATCAACGATTCAGTGTACTGTTGATACCTGGATGTAGTGTTGGCTGTGATTTTGAGGCTGCAGGGGTTGCGGATGAGTTTGTCAAGGATGCTGACAATTTGGTCAAACTTCGGACGGTTATTCCGCTCCTTCTGCCAGCAGTCCAACATGAGTTGATAGAGAGTGGCAGGGCAGTCCATGGGTGGTGGCAAGCGGTAACCCTCGTCTACAGCTTTTATTACCTGCAGGCAAGAACAAATTAGAATTAATTTATGTAAAGTTTCCATAAAAGAATTGTTTTCAATTGTTCTGGACTAGAGATGGTTGAGTTATTAGGATCAACAAATCTATTCTTATAGTACATTTGAAATCAACAAAAGTAGACCAGATAAAACAAAAAAATATAAAAAATCAAACAGGTTTTTTTTTGCATATTGATAACTGGTTTATGTTTTAATAGAAATATTTGTTCAGAGTTTAGGTTGCTTTTTTGTTTCATATAAAACTCTCCAACTGTGGGAATGTAGGTCATTCAGTTTGTTTCACAAAACTAAACTCAATCTTTCAACAGGGGTAGCTGGTTTTGAATCATTTAGTTTTTGCAAAGGTTCTGAAAAGGATGCGAGAAAATCTGGATGAAGCTTGAGCGAAGCTGCCAACCCTTTTGGTGTCGTGGTTGCCCCACACCACACTAATAAGAGGTTTAGTTGTCTCCCCTTCTTAAAAAAGAATAGAAAATTGGCAACACTTACATCCTGATTGGACATCTCCCAGTATGGCCGTTCTCCATATGACATCACCTCCCAGAGAACGATGCCATAACTCCAAGCATCGCTGGCTGATGTAAACTTCCTGTAGGCAATTGCCTCTGGGGCTGTCCACCGGATGGGGATTTTTCCTCCCTGTGATCAGTAAGAGAAAGAATTATCATATCATATGATTTTGCTTTAATATTTTGTTTTGTGGATGAATCCTATAAACATAAGTCAGAAAATATGTAAGACAAAAAAAGAAAAAGTGTGTTGCAGACATTGCTGGCTCTTGGAGGCGTCATGGAATCAAATCTGGCGCTACAAAAAAGTGTTAGTCAAGTGTTGTTTTGCGTAATTTGTGACCTTCATGTGCATAGATAAATTACTTGATAGCAAGACAATTTTCCATCCTAGGCTGCAAACCTATGCCTTTCCTTTGCCTCCCTATTATCTCCCTAACACTACTGTGTCTGTTGTTTCAATGGCTGTGTTAGTTCATAAAGCTCCATCACTGCCTTCCTACACATTGTTGGACAAATTAAAAAGTTAGACAGCATGAGTTCTGTACTGCTACAGCATTTACTTAACTGCAACTAAAATATGGTGGAAATTGCCCAACAGCAACATTTCTTAACTTCATGCAAGAACGTACAGATGCTCTGTCTGCAGCGATGAGACAACTTATCAGTTGTCTTAGCATGCCAGATCCTTAAAACTAAAAGTGTAACTGACAAGATGACTGTCTGATTCATGCAGCAAACTATTATCTAAAAACTTAGAGGACTCACAGAGTATTGACATTTATTTCCAAGTATGGAAACATTTATGTGTTAATGTGTTATACCCACTCGCAATTTAAGCCTGAAGCACAGAAAAAAAAATACACGTACTTAAACATTTAGCAATACTTAACATCCAAAAAATCTACCTTTTATCCCTCACATATAGACCAATATGGCAAATGTTTTCCAATATACAACGATAAAAAGCAAATTAGAGATGTTTTGAGATTTCTAAAATTATTTCTTATTAATGCAAGTGTACTCAAACCAGTTTAAAGTAGAAGATGTTTGAATCTAAATTTATAATTAATCAAAGAGAAGCTAAACCAAAATAAGCCATCCGGTTTATAAAAACTTGAAGCAAAAATATTGACTAAGAGAATTAAATTATAACAAAAATATTTGAACAGATTTAGTCTTAATCAAGATTAATTCCCATCAACATTAAAGAAAGGAAGGGAAATATAAACCAAATTATATTCCAATGTTTCCTTTGTGCAACAAAATTTGTTTTTCTTCCTGAAAAGCAAGACAAATGAAGAAAATAGTGCTAAAGAAAGGATGTTGATATTGGCCAATCATAACAGAGACAAGCCAAGTCAGTTCGCCTTTGCTTTGGAATGCACAGTAATACAGACTGTTATCTAAAAAGATCTAACATATTATGCTGTCTACTGCTGAGGGAAACACTGGAAAATGCAAGACAGTGAGAACACAGACAAATGGTTGCACGAATAAACTTATAAATCTCATAAATATGACATCTTCCTAAACTTATGCTCTATTAAACTCTCAAGTGGTGGCAAAAAGACAAAACAAAAAAAGTCTAAACATGCATATACGAAAATCAAAAGTTTATTCAAGCACAGACAAGAAACAATATAAAACACTTCTAACAAGCCTTTGAGTCTCATGGATGATGGAGTCGTGAATCTGTGTTATTATTCCACTTTATTCATTTTCTGTGAGAAAGGCAAATGCCACACAGACTGTTTATTTGAAAAGCAATTCTCAACCAGCAAATTAAACCCTGTTTTAAAGAGTTGCATGCATAGTTTAGACCAGAAGACGCTATGCTGACCACTTATGCACATACACAAGAGAAAGAAAGACAGATGAACGTCTGGAACATGACACGGCTCCTGCTATGTTTCAGTTTTTGACAAGAGCATCTACTGAAGAAGTAAATCAAGAACAAAAAACACAAAAATGTTAATGAGGTAAAGACATTATTTTCATCACAAATCCTCTTTTATGTTGCTTTTTTGGAAAATTAGTACGTGTCTGCATGTAGAACTTGTAGATCTACAAATTTCCAGAGTAATCTCAAAACTGAACGAAGAAAAACAATATCTTCACGATGTTTCACACTTTTAAACAACATATTTTGAAAGAAATAAATCTGCTTTAAGAGAAGAAAATTCTGTTAAACCTTAGTGTGCAGTTTGATGACAAAACACTACATTATATCTGTCAATACTATGACGTGCAAACATAAAAACGTACGCTGTGTATCTTGCTATGATCTTGGCAAAGTTGTTTTTATTTTAACAGGCACCTAACAAAGAAGAATAATGAGCCGCAGGACCTTTCTCAGTGCAATAATTCATGTAGTTTATTGTGTTCTTGATTTGCCTTTGTGGCCCGTCTTACCCTGGTGGTGTACGCAGCCTCCGGGTCGTCCTCCAGTACTCTGGACAAGCCAAAGTCTGACACTTTGCACACCAGATTGCTGTTGACCAGAATGTTTCGGGCTGCCAGGTCTCGGTGAACATAGCCCATGTCTGACAAATATTTCATGCCCGAGGCGATACCACGCAGCATGCCGACCAGCTGGATTCCTGTAAACTGGGCATCATGTTTCTAAAAGAAAGAAAAACAGGAAAGGGAGAAAGAGTTATAGGAAATGAATGGACAAAACTGCAAATGCTGTACTTTTTGAATATAAATAAGAGAGGTGGAGTCTGACCTTTTCTCATTAGCATTTGCAAAATTTTCATTAACCTTTAAAAAACACCTCTGACATTCCTGTACTCAATTTTAAGCTTAACTGAATCCCAGGGCTATAAAAATGACTGGATGAAAGTTAAATTTAACAACTTGAAGAAGTATTCATACACCTTAAACATGTTTGGCACAATACAACCGCAACCATTATTTGGATTACAGACAAGGAACCAATGGACCTCCATTCTTGGCTTCCTGTAGCCAGTAAAAAGAAATGACTACAGTATCTTCTAGAACCAAATGTGTCCAACATTTCTTGTATGTCTCTGTTTTGTATCAGTGGTCATCTGCGGGTTTCCTCTTGCTCTGCTTCACCCTCTGCTTGTCAAACACCACAAGGAGAACTAAGAGTAAGATGAGTTTGTATGATGAGCGTGTTTTTCTTTGAAAACCAATCAGACCCACTTCTTCTCTTATTTCATCTGGACCCTTTATAGGCCAGGCCACCTGGTTTAGTCACTTCAAAGCTTTGGTGGATGCAGTATGCTGACATAAGCTGTGATGCATAACACAGAGAACATGAATGTGCGTGTATTTGTATGTGCGCCCCCGTTCTTGGTGATGAAGAACAGGCCTCCGGGAAAACATGAGGAAATAACAGTTATAGCCGCCATGGGTCTGTTTGGATACAGTACAGACATGGAAAAAATGTGTAAAACAGGCATTGGCACTCATGCTTTCAAGCCAGTAATGCAACTTGGCTGATGCACTTTAACTAATTTCAGTGAGTGGATCAATTCTTCAGCAAACAACTGAGCCATGAAAACAGTAAAATTCCAGCTGAACTGCAAAAGCAATGAGAATACAACTGAACAAATACTGATATTTTATGAGATTGATTAAAAAAAAAACATATTTCCAAAGTTTTTTTTCTTCTTTTTTTAAGGTGTGTTGACAATTTAAAGGCAAAGTATGTGAAATATGGACATGAACCTTATGACAAATTACACAATATTTATTTGGAATCAGATGTTTCAAATAGCACAAAGGAAAACAGAAGTAGTTTGCACTACAAAATAGAACTTGTGGCATATAATGTGTGAACCTCATCAGACAGAGTAGAGCTAAAAGTAAAAAAAACAAAAAAAACAAAAAAAAAACAAGATAGGAATTAAACTGAAGGGATTCTGAGTTCATAAATAGATTTAAACATATTTTGTACATTAAATTATTATGTAGGTGTACATTTTGTATTCCTTGTGCTTTGGTAATTAAAATAAATAAACATAAGTACTGAATTTCTAACTGGATACCTCCTACTCCTGATCCAGCAACAATTTCATAAAAAAGAAAAAAAAAAGACAGCAAAATCCAACCAAAGTATTCTCCAATGTCATATGACTCTCTTTTAATTTTTAGAAAGATTTCCCACATGTCTAATAATAGGTTTTTGTATGATAATGGCAACTATGACTGGACCGTATGGCGTCTGCAATCATTCCACTTGCATGAGTTTAGTTATGGATCGATTGTTTTTTCTTCTTACATAGCAAAGAAACGGATCAGAAAGTGCCCAGGAAGAAAAAATTATTGTTTTCAATAGAAAATAAGTTGTTTCAATTAAACATATTGAATACATAGATATATACTATTTCCCTTCCAAAAAAAAAGAAACATAAAAGAATTTGCCGGCTTGTCTGTTCTTTCTCAACAACTGTTCCATCCATCAACTTCGATTACAGCTGCTGCGTTGCCGTCATTCAAAAGAATGATGGTTTCATTTTTAGAATAGCACTGGAAGTTATTTAGAATGTTGTTAGAAACACAAACCATCGCTCAAACAATGGTCTTGTAGATCAGTAACAATGTTTTAAAATGCCATCTTAGATTACCAACATTACTCCATCACTTTGTCCCTTAACTTGTCCGGTTAGGTAAAATACAGACATGATGAGTCTAGTTTATTGTGCAAATTCATGAAAAACGTCATGTCCAGGCACTTTACAAAAGCTAAATAATTAACCTAAATATAATACTGGATTTAGCTACTCAAATTCAAATTAAGTTACATACATTCTAATTTGATTCTAAGACAAATTCAATTTATAAAATTTAGATGCCCAACGGATAGAATCAGGTCAATGACTTTACAGCACTACCACCTAATAAGCAAACATGTGGTGACAGTGGCAAGAAACAACTTCCTTTCAACAGGAAGAGACGTCTGACGGAGCCTGGCTCTGCTTGTCATCTGCCACACTCGATTGGGATTCTTAAAAGAACGCAGATGCGGACAACAAACTGTTGAACCTTTGCAACACAGATATTGCTTCTTCATTTTTAGTATTTTTATGATTCATCCTTCTAACATGCATAATAAGTGAATCCATGTGTTTGTGTAATTACTTACTCTTAGGAAGCTGTCGAGGGATCCGTTCTCCATGTACTCAGTGACAATCATCACGGGTTTACCTGGAAGTTGAAAAGTTCTGTTTATGGTTGTAGTGTCTACAAACACAGACTGCCACACTACCATGAAACTTACGGCAAGCATTTATTAGCAGAAATGAGAAAAGTCTAATTTATTCAACGGTGTGGTGAGTTAAACTAAAGTAAAACTAAAAGCCCCATTATAGGGACTGGACTGAAGAATATTTTTATTTTTTAATTCAAGTCTCGGTTATGTCTTGTCACAGGTTTCCTATAGGTCAGATGTCAAATAAACGTGTTTATTTCTTTGGATCATCTGATTGTAAAACCATGTTTCCTTGTTCCATCTGTATTTGATCAGTCATTGGCCAGGGAATGATTGGGAATTGCAGGGAATGTAAAAAAACAAATCTTCAGATTACCCAGATGTTGACTGAAGAGAGTCAGAGTAAGGACTTGTTTGTGTCCCAGATACGTTCTCTGCACGTCACTCTTGACTTAACTGTGGTTTGTGCTTCTTCTCCAGTTTGATTCTGATTTATGTGCCCTGCTTCCCCCTGTCCCTTTTTATTTCTGACCTACCTTTCCTTTGTTACCCCGTCCCTCGATCTCTTCTCTAACTCTCTTTTCTATATTGTTGAAAATATCTTTTTTTAAAGGACTTTTCTGTCAAAAAAAGCTGAACTAAAATAAGAATCTAAGAAAATCACTGTGATAACATTATTTAATCCAAATAAAGCAATTTTGAGTAAATTGATATTCTATTGGAAAATACTACCCATATTAAATTTAATGTAGTAAAATTGATCTATATCTACAAATGACTTCAAATTACTGTGGAATTTCTAAATTGTACTTTTATTTACTTCCCATAAAACCCTTTGAATTCAGACATTTGTGCATTTTTGTTTCTGTGACTATTTAATTAGGAAGCATGGATTTTGCCAGAAATTTCAAAACTTTCAACAATAACTATAGTAAAACATCTCATCATTCAACTAAAGCTGGTGTAAAACAACCTCCGCCCACACCCACTTCCTAAAAGGCTGTGATGGATTGTTCCCTTTACCAACAAATGACTTTTATAGTGGCCGACAGGAACACACACACACACACGCACACACGCATACTATCCTCCTGCTTGTCCTCCGCCCTCTTCCCTTCCCTCTTTCTCTCTATTCTCAACTTTGGCAGTAAAGATAAAGGCCCCAAGGCCCCTTTGTTCCGACAGCTAAAGTGCGAGAGTATGTGTGCAAATGCAGATGTGTGTGAAGCGGTTTGAAAGAGAAGAAAGCACATGTGAGCATGCGTGCGTGTGCGCGCGTGTGTGCGTCTGATCCTGCAAACATGCAGCCCCTGGATCAGCCAAAAGCAGCAGCAAGGTAAATGGGGTGTGAAAGTCTCAGGATTATTAAGAATTAACAGGAGCAGCTTAATAAATCACCCTCCAGCTGTGTGTGTTTGGGCGTTTAGGTGTGTGTCTGCGTAGGGAAGCATATCAAATGGACCCTCTAAAAAGTAGGCCCTGCACTTGTGCTGCTCTGACTTATGCACATGTGTTCAGAACATCTCTACAAATGTCATATGCACACACACGTGCACCCGATGTGTCTTCCAGTCTTAGTGCAACGACTGAAACTAGTTGTGACAAAATTCAATGCTGGTTCATTAACTGCAGAAAGAGAGGCATCATTCTCATCATACATTCGGCTTCAACTTAACATAAAAAGATCATCTAACATAAAAGTGTGTTTCAGTTAGTTAGAAATCATTGAAAAATCAATCTGTTTCAACAATTCAGTTAAAAAACGTGGTGGTTATGACCATTTCTTTTTCCCCAAATATAAAACTACACAATACCAATAAAAAGCATTTTTAACATAGTAATGTTGTGATATTGCCTACCCAGTCATAGATGAGACAGTTGACTTGATAGTTTTCCAGCAGACAGTGATGCCCACCAACAGCAGGGTAAGCCACAAAAAGTCGTGGTTTGAGAATCTGGCTGTTCACATGGTGCGCTATCTTAAAATGTTAATGGAAAGTTGAGTGGATTAAAAAAATGTCCCATCCATGATTCTAAAGCAAAGCGTATTCAAGATTTCGGGGGCAGTTCATGAGCCAGCAGTTTATCAAAATCCAGATGAGTAAAAGCCGACCACAGATGCTTCACAAGCTTTTCATCTTTATGTCACACCACATTGAAGAGAGTGCATTTCTGTATTTAAAAACACTTTTCATTGACCTGATATTACGTTTTTACCAAAATTAACAGAATTAAACACTTGACATATCACTCTGTGTGTAAGTAAACGGTTTGAGTGGTGCAGTTGACCCTGTCATCAAGAAGGTTTCAAATCAAGCTCATCGTTTTGCATGAAGTTTTATTTCAGTGTTATTCTTGCAAAAACACATGCAGACGGAGATAAGAGTGATAAGAGTCAAGTACGTGAAATCAGTCTTGGTCCCTTAGCCTTCAGCCAAGGCAACAAGATTTCTTTTAGTTAGTGAAAATCAGGGAAAGTAGAAATAAGAAATAAATGTGAGATAAACAAATCTGAGAAAGTAAAGTCAGAGAAATTTCTTCAGGTATTTTAAGAAAAACTGTAGAGGTTGAACTACTTAACTAGGCAATTGCCGCAGGGATAGTAAGAGGCCAGGTCTTTTTTTTAGCGGCAAAGTTCAGACTCATTATTTTCCTCTTTCTTCAGTCGTTCCCTTTTAAAGAGGTCTTGTGTGTGCTAATGATGGTCTTATAAAGAGGCCCAGAGGGGTGCAAGTCAGAGATATGGATTTATGGATTTAATGCTTGTGCCTGACACAGACTTTGATCAGAGCACATTGATCTGCAGAGATTTATACCACAGCAGCTCAGTAAAAGTCATTGCTTTTTACACAGAAGTGTCAGGCATTTGTGGAACCATTTGTCATAGACAATTGCAAATCCACAATTGGTCTAAAAAAATAACAGACCAAAAAAACAATAATCCTATCCTTGTAAGGAAAATATAGAAACCGTGTCATTTTCTGGTCAATGTGTTTTCTGTTTGCAAAATGTTTCTTTAAACAATAAACAAAAACATTTAATTGACCTGAATTCTGGGAAATCCTACATACTATACCTTATAAAAGTATTTGTTACCTGAAATATTTGTAAATTTTGTAACAATGCAACCACAAACTTTAAGTGTATTGCATTGGGATTTTTTGTGATGTATGAAAGTTGTGTATAGTAGTGAAGTGGACCATTCAGCCAACCTTCTGCTGCAGTTACAGCTGCAAGTGGAACTTCATATTCAGTATTGAAGGTTTTTCAGCTCATAATTTTTTTTGTTTTGTTTTTGTCATAATTTCTTTCCAATGTTGCGTCAGCTCTGACCAGCTTCTCCATATCATGATGCTGCCACCACCATGATTTGTGGTGGGATGATCTATTCAGGGAAATGTGCAGAGTAAACTTTCTTCCTAGCAACATTTTGCACGAGGCTAGAACTTTTGAATATAAATGGACCAATGGATCTTCTTCTACGGGTTTGCTCTGTTCCCTACTTGGCTTAAAAGCAAATGCACAGCCATATATTATTTTACATTTGGAACAATTCACTCTGAATTTTTATTTATATTTTTATATATATGTGTGTCTTTTGCATTCCTTGTTCATGTGTGTAATTTTAAACTATTATCACGTTCGAAAAAAAAAATATATATGCAATATATCAGGCTTATATTTTACATGTTTCCTTCAATGCTTTTTTTTATGTGCATCATGTGCACACTAGAAAATATTTATGGAAACACTATAATTTGAAATAATTTACTCAATTTCTCAAAAAAGTTTTTTAGGTCACTTGAGGTGGTTTTTGGCTTTTCTAAAAAAAAAAAAAAGAGTTAACGCACAAAAGGGAGATGGAAGACGTAGGAAAGTTTCCCCTTCAGAGCGCGGTCCAAACCAAAAGCTCGGGGGTGAGAATTCTCTCTGTTTTTCTGAGACATGAGATCCACACTAGTTTGCAACCTCTACTTCTTGTTTACTACAGCCATGTGTAACGTCAACATCTAAGAAAATTATCCTGTGTCTAGCCTGGTTTATTTGCAAACGGTAAAATGTCTTTGTTTTTTATCCCTTTTTGAAACTTGTCAAAAGTTTGCTTTAGATTTGTGTGCCAATATAGCCAAAGACTGACACTTTAGATATTCACTGAACAAAATTATTTTACTGAGAAAAGAAATATTTCTGTGTCTATAAATGTTTACATGGATTATGAAGGCACTTACTGCGTGTCACTACGCCCTCCAGCCTGATGATATTGGGGTGATCAAACTGTCCCATGATTGATGCTTCTGCAAGGAAGTCCCGCCTCTGCTTGTCTGTGTATCCTCCTTTAAGAGTCTTGATGGCCACACAGATCTCCTTCTTGCTGGGCAGTTTTAGGCGACCACTGCAAACTTCTCCAAACTCACCTACAGTTAAGATAACATATACACAACACAAATCACTTGTTTGAATGCATATCATTTTTGATTTCTATCGTCATATAACTTCTACCTATATTTTCAATAATATGTGTTTCAAACCTTTGGTTGTCTGGAGTTAAATCAACATTTTAAGAGCTTATGGAGCTTTATTTAATCTTGAGGAGATGGCTGTGTTTTGTCCATCCTAAGATAAACTGAGAAAGTCTGTGGAGAATGTGTATGTTTTTGTAAGGGAGTGCAAGCTTTTTAGGTAGTCCAGCCACTTCATAGACCCAAGTGACAGACTTCTGGCTAGACTATACAACAACTGTAGTCTGGTCATACTTCTTTGTGTTGTGTTTGAATGTGTGTTGAGCCTAAATGCATGCACACCCTAAAGAAGTTTAGGCGAGGTGATGTCAGAGCTCAGACGTGCAGATCTTTTTCTTAATCCAGTACACTTGTATCCAAAAGCAGCTCTGGATCAGAGAGTGTGGGTCAAACAGTGGACATGAAGCAACAGTCTGGAATGACTTAAACCAGAATAATTACAACCTGTCTAAATACCAAAAAGTGTTTCTGGTCTTTCCTGGTTTGCTTCATTCCCCTGGCCTTCAGCTATGCACAGAAAAAAAAGAAAAGAAAAAAAAACAGGCAGAGGCACTTTCTTCATGTGGTCACTCTCAGAAAGGGGATCCTGCTCTAATAAGGCTTAATTAGGAACACTCACTCCTTTCCTGTTTTAGGAGAACCATGGTGTTTAGATTTGATGCTGAGGTCTGAGCGATCTAAGAGGACTGGCAAACTGTGTTGTTCTTGCTTTATAACACAAGTTCACAAGTTGCCAACAAGATCAAAGTCGACTTAACAATCAGAGGGGCTGAGGCAGAGTCAAAGAAATATGCGGTTTGGTTTTGTGTCCTCATTAAAGTTTAAAATTTGGATAGTTGGCAGGATACAGTTAACAGACAACAATGTTTGCATTTGGTAAATGTAGGTGTAAATACCAAAATCAAACTCCACTTCCGTTTTTTTTTTTAAACATCAAAGGAAAGATCTGACAGTTACATCACATATTTATTGGAGACTATAAGGTTCTTGTTTTTGGAATCACCCCTCTAAATAAAAGCAGCGTCTCGTCAGCCACTATTTTCCCAGGTCATCCCATCAGTTTTGCAGTGTGAAAGTCTGATGGGACTGAACTTGTGTGCTAGAGGCTGAATATATAGATTCTGACTGAACTCGACATGAATCATAATTGATCACTGTCCAGTCTTCACTACTGCTCAAGTTATCAGCTTTACCATATGGGAAGTGACGGGTGGAAAAATAACAAGACAGGGATTTTATTTTATTTCTACAAAAAGGCCCGTGGTATTTGCTTACGGGTAGCCTCACATTACTTTCTGTTCTCCTGTACTATAAGTAACAAGTAGAAAGATAGATGGAAGTAAAACCAAAACATAATATTTTTCTTATTGTTGTATGTAGCACAGATATAACTCATCCAGACATTGCTTTGAAAATGTTGATACATGTAGAATTTAATTTATTCCTCATAAAGTACTCTTGTGCCGTGTAGATTAATTATAAAGAAGTAAGAAAACAAATGGCATTAATGGTGATGTAATATTGAGAACTTTTTCTGCATTATTAATCTTAATTAAATTGCTTCAACAGGTCATTCTGAAATCAGGGTCATGAGAAAATTTCTAAATTACTCATTGATGCAATTAAAAATATTGGTGAGTACAAAGGGGGTATATTTTTACAAGTCTAATTAGAACCTAGGAGATGATTATATTCATTCTTCAAGTCCGGTATTACTAAAAACCTGTCCAAAACAACCCACATCTTGCATGTGTGACTAATGCAACAGTGTGTTTCCTCAGCCCTACCTGCTCCCACGACTTTATCAATAGCAATGCAGGAGGCGTCAAGTTCCTTGGCAAACTCATGAACAGCCTGGCTCGGATCCTCGTACGTGTGGGGATCCACATAAGTCCTGATTCCTGGCAGGCGCACTGCAGAAAAAATAAGGAGAGGGGATCAGGGATCAGTAAAATATAAAAAAGTAACCTAGGGAGAGGTTTTAACTTTAGAAAAGGGTCACCGTATATAAAGCTCTGGAAAAAATTAAGAAACCACTGCACTGGACCCCATTGGTTATTTCACCACATATTCACTTCTGAACTCTTCCTAAGTTAACACATTTGTATTGCTGTTTCTAAATGAATATATGTGAAATTTATGTTTAGTAACTGACCCAAACAAATTATTCACAATGTCGCAGAGTCTGATTGGTGCCTGGGAAGTTAGGGGCTGATGCTTGGATGAACGTTAAAGGTACAATAATGTCAAATAAACATAGTTGCTTTAAAACGCTTTGAGAAAAGCAAGAAGCAAAATGTAACCCCCCCCCCCCAAAAAAAAAAAAACTTTTAATAAAGTTAATTTTAGTTATTATCAAATGGTATTTAATAGAACTTTATTAAAAGCTAAAATCATTAACTGTAAGCTAATTCTTGTGAAGAAAGAGAAAACTGTAACAGATTCTTGAACTTGTGGTTTCTCTGGACACAAAAACTTTTCCATTTTGTAAATTAACACATTTTTATAATAACATAAACACATCCTTTTTTGTTAACATTTAAAATAGTTAACATGGAATGAAGTTGAGCTCAGCAATAACTGGGCTTAAGCCAGCATTGTCCAAGACGTAATTCTGCAGCTACATTTTCAAGTTCATGAAACGACAGGAAATGACATGAAAAAGACAGTGCACAGCATACTTACAGTGGCCATTGCCAAAGTGAAGTCTTTTCTCATCAGGATGTTTGGATTTGCTGCGGCAACAAAACCTGCCAATTCAGAGAGAAAAATCCAAACTAGAGCCACAATTTCCAGTAAGACTTCACCCAATGGCTCAGCCTGGAGGCTGGTGAGAGCTTTGTGTGTGTGAGAAATCAGCTCTTATAAGCCTAGTGAGGATAAGTAAGTCTTGTAATGTGCCATGGATTTACAGTGTGGTCTGTCTGAAGACTCCTGTCAGCCAACTTGAGCCACACGTCTGCTTGCAACCACCACACACACAAAGACACACAATATATGGACAGCTCAAGCGCAGATGTTTTGAATATAAATTTGTATTGTGTGATGCATGAGGTAAATAAATTGTTTTAAAAAGACTTATTCAATTAGTAATCATTTCCAACTGAAAGCAGAGAGTAAACAAACGGATGTGATTGAAGGAGACTACAATTTAAAATCCAGATGACTGATTGGGGACAGACCTTCCAATCAGGACATAGAGCAGCACGGTGAGCAGAATGATGGCCACCGCACAGGAAATGGCAATTAAGACAACCTGGCTGTTCTCACTGGAGATTGAGAAGGCTGCTGAAAGAGAATCAAGCATGTGTTCAGGAACATCAAAAGACATATATCATCTGAAAAAAGATAACATAAACAGTGTATTGTGGTAGAGTTTTTTTTTATATTTTGTTGCACCACAACCATAAACATTGATGTATTCTTATTAGACTAACACCACCTAACAGTTACGCGGTGAAAGAAAATTATATTTGGATTTAACTTATTTACAAATGAAAAATTCAAAAGTATTACTATCCATTTTTATCTAGTTTCCATGAATCATTATTTGTGTAATTACCTTGAATACAGTGGTTCAAGCATCACACATCTAGAATCTGAAATTGTTGCCTATTCTATGCAAAGCAACTCAATCTGCCCTATCTTTTGTAATTATTCTTTTTAAAATTTGGGTGGAAATCTTACCACAGATTTTAAGTGATGCCTACTGATATCAAATGAGCCACACACACATCAGTGTGACTTGACCTAAACCTCATTCCAGTTCCAGAAGTACGTTCAGTATTATTTTCTTCTTGGAAGGTGAGCCTCCACTAAAGTTTTAAGTGTTTTTCAGCTTCTAGCAAGTTTGTCTTGTTTTTTTCGGAAACTGTCCTACATTCAGTTCTGCCTGTATTCTCTGACTTACAGATGCCTGATGCTGCAGCACCGTGGTTGACTGTAGAGACTGAGTGTTCAAGGCGATCTCTCGTTTTAGTTTTTCACCTCATATTCTATTTTGGGTTGAAACCAAGGCGCACAACCTGTTTATAGCTATTCCTTCAACATGTTTGCTCTGTCTCCTGCATGGTTTGTGTCACAGTGCAAGCAGAGCTTTCTGGGGCTCTCCTGCAACAATGTAATCCTGTTGTCTTTCTTCCATAAAAGGCAGATTTATGGAGCACACACCCAATAATTTTCTGTTTTACTTGTCCTGCCATTTCTTGGTATTTTCTAGATTTTTAATTACACAGTGGATTGGTATTGTTTTATAACCTAACCCTGCTTAAAAGTTTTCCACAACTTAATAAACTTCATGTTTGGCCTGTACTCTCCAATGTCCAATATATATAAAAAAAGGTGATTGAATTACAATTTACTTTCAAATACACAGTTGGTTTCATTGGATCTTAGGTGTATTGGAGTAAATGAGGGTATATAAATGTGTCTGTCAAACTTTTTAGACTTCTATTTGTACAAAAATAAATAAATAAAAAACAGCTAAACCATTAGCTTCCACCTCAAAATTACAGACTATTTTATTTGTTCTGTAACTTAAAATTATGTGTTGTTGTGGCAACAGAAATGGAAGAAAAACTATTCTTGCACAGCACAACAGATTTTCAGTTGGAAAAAAATCCTCTGCATGCTGAGCTTACAGTCAGGGCTGGTTTCAAACTGGAAGCTGGGGCTGCTGGCTCCATATCCAGCAGCAGTGCGGGCTCTGATCTGGAGCAGGTAGGCTGTGTTGGGCTTCAGACCATTCAGGGTCACATTACAACCCCGAGCTCTAAGAATGGTATAGCTGGTCTCCTGTTCTTCCTGGAAGACAGTAGAAAATGGTTGAAAATTCTGTATATATAGTAATAATGTTCTATACTCTCTTTATGTTGGTGCCATAATGGAATATAGTTCACTTAGTACACAATGTTTAGTACTGGACACACCATATGCATACCCAGTTTTGAATACATGCACACATATACCGGAAAAGGGAGGGTAGAGGATTTGACAGCTTCCTTCTAAGGTTGATGAATTATCCTTTTTATATTTTATGACTTCTTTCCTACTGATCTCTAGTGATAGGACAACAGGTAGATTTACACACCAGGTCTGCATTCGATTCATTGTTTCCAGATGTGAAATGGAAGAAAGGACGGTGGAAAAAAGAGAACAGAGCAAAGGTTGGATGAGGAAGAGAGGATATACAACATATCCATGTGTATATTTCACTGAGTTTTCGTAAGGACAAGACGAGACTCAATTTAGATGTTAGAAAAAGAAAATGACTTTAGACTGAAACTATTTACTACAACAACGAAAAACCAAAAGCTCAGAATGCCCCAAAGGTTCAAATTCTTTAACTTTCTTTATGTCTAAGATTATGTTGTCAGTGCATGGCCAACACAAAATTGCAAACACACTATTGTTGACCCAGTTCTAAGCAATGAAACATGGTTTTACAGATAAAAAACAGCACAAGCCTGACTTTAACCCTAATAAAAATCTGTTGCAGATGACTTCATCATCAATCCCAAAACTGAGTTATGTTTGGAAATGTTGACAAACTCGTAAAAGTCAGTCGAGACCAGAACATGTCAAAGACTCTTTTTATTGACCCAATTTAATGCCAGATGTTTATTTGAACAGGCAGTCATCATAGGGTCTTCGAGACATACAGAGATGAACACACAAGCCTGTGTAGTCAGTGTCCAGAGGAAGCTTCACGCTTCTTCATGGGGAAGAGCTTTAATGGTACGCAAAGCTTTTCAAACATGTACGTGTCTGAGGAGGAAACTGATACACCAGACCTGAGCTGAAACGACTTTTCATCACGACTATAAATCTTAGGCAGCCTGTCACAGGGCAGGCGATTGAGACAACATGTGATCCCCTGAAAATAAAACACAGGTGTGATGAAACAACAAGAGAGGGCGGGAGACTATTTGCATCACACAATATAGCCGTTTCACTAAAACCCTGTTTGGTTTTAACAAGGCCCCTGTGTTCAGCTTTGCCTTGATAGTCCAAACAAAGCTGCAGCTAATTACAGCTCTTATGTGTGCACATGCAGTCATGGATGCACAACAGAAGTCTTGTAAATATCTGTTATAACAGACATTCCTTATGTTTAAGGAGTCTTAAGACTACATAAACAGCTTCAACTCGATTGGTTTTTAATCTATCCCTCAGCTTTTTACATTAGAATAATAAAAAGTGCAGAAGCAGTCAGAAAATTCCACCCCCACAAATTATGTTTTCACAAAGTGCCCTTGTGAATGCCTGAGTAGCTGCAGAGCGCCCCTTTTCGCCAGTGGAACCGACTGACAGATCATATAGATCATACAGGTCTACTGAAGATGAAACATCTCTTTTCTTCTGGGAAGCTTTCTGGTTGGAAATTCCCAAGAATATCACCAAAGCTGTGAGGATCTTGCTACGTATGGGATAGGAAATGACCAACACGAGGGCTCTAACACGTAGGACATTTGAGCTGGTAGTTCCATAACTGTGTGACATATAAGTGAGGTATGTAGGGTTGGAAGTTATTTTAGAAATTAAAACATGTCACAGACTGATGCTTGGCCGGAAGGATACCGCTTTTAAGTTTGATGCCAGAAATTCCTGATTAAACGTCTGCAGACCAGAAATGCAAATGCGTTACAAAGATAATCTTTAAAAAAAATCCCTATGAAATGTTTCATTTATGTCCTTTGCTGTGCCAGGTGTTCCATTAACAATCAATCACTTTAATGAGCATTTTGTAAATTTTTCTCATGAACTGTTGCTGCTTCATTAACTTTTCCAAAATTTATCAAATTAGAACCACAATTTTTAATGCAATGTACTGGAATTTAGAAGTCATTAACATTGCAACATGGTGAAATGGAAAGGCAATGATAAAAGGCTTACAAATTCAAATTCAAATGAAGATGTGAAAATTATGGTATCTGTATTAGTTCTGCTTTGTGTTGGTTTATCATATGAAATGTGTGGTTATAATGTAAAAATATTTCAGATTACACTACTTATTATCTATGCATATTATCTTATGTTTATTTTTTTCTAAAGATCATATACACACAGGTAAAACTAGATATTTGAGACATTTAAAGTTTTTCACAATATAACATGAATTTAGACAAAACCTTTAATGTTCTAGGACATGCTATGATAATCAAATTTATTGCTAAATGCTGAGTTAATCCAAAGAGATACAGAGCAATCATCATTGCAATATTCTTATCACAAAGGACAGCTGACAGTGCAATAAGCACTGGCAAAAACAGTATAGTGCCAGAGTTATGAGTTTGCATTTTACATGCTGATGAAATATTTAGCCAGGTGGAGAGCCTGGCAGAAGCAGGTACTCTTACCAGACACACATGACATTGCTCAAAAATGCTAAATGTCAAAGAGTGATGGAAGCACTGAATAAATAGAGAGGAAATCGGCACATATTACACCTGATAACATCACAATATCTACCAATACTATCATATCACAAAATTATCTAATATCCTTCTACCTTAAGTAAATCATGTAGAGAAGCCCAGATGATGATGTTCTGATAGGTTGGTTGAAAACATGTGATTTAAATGGGGGCATGTATCTGGATAAACTTTGACCTTCAAATCTTCATCATGAGATATCATGATACAATAAAAAGAAATCACACAAAATAATATGTTTCATTCTTGTGCACAATTTCCTGATTGATACAGGTGCCATATTCATATGTTTATCAATTCTACATTGTAGCGCTCAGAAAGGAGATGGATTCTTTGTATTGGTGGATAAGCGTAGATCAACCTTAGAAAATCAATAAAAAGCTAAGTGCAGATGCTGACTGATACTGGAAAGAGAGTGTCATTATCTACAATGAAATATGTCCTGAACTGACATGGAATAAAAGGCCATTTATATTGGAAGAAGCCATTACTCCAGGAGCAACCTGGAAAGCCAGCTCACATTTTGCACATGTTGTGAGAGACAAATACCTTAACTTATGGAGAAAGGTCCTGTGGTCTGATGAAAGTGAAAGTGAAGAGTCATAATAACCATAATCACATTTAGAGGAAACAAGGGGGATGCTTTAAAGTCTGATAACACCAATAGATCTGTAAAGTCTGATGGGGAAAGCATCATATCATTTGAGAGTTTTGCTGCAGGAGGAATGGGACTCTTGACCTTCCCAAAATACCTGGAGACACTTGAAAAGAACATAATGAGGAAATGTTAAAGCAGCATCTCAAGACAGCCAGGAAGTTGCAATTAGCACGCAAGCACATATCCTGATTGTACATTGATACTGATCACAATGTAAAAGTGGTGCAAGAACAACAAAGGCAACGTTTTAGAGAGGCAGTCAAAAAGTCCTGATCTCAATCTCAAATAATGTTTGAAAGTAACTTTAGATGGTATGAGAGAAAATGATAACATTTACACAACTTTACATGAATTCAAAATAAAACAGTACCAACTGCAACAAGAAAAGGCAAAACTGCAAGTCAGCAATCAGAGGAAGCTTGATGAAGAATACAGAGCATGTTTGACTCAATCGCACAGTTTAAAAGGCAATTCTAGAAGAAAATCAATGTACTCTTCTAAATTTGAAGATTGTTAGAGTCAAAAAACAGATTTTTCTCATTAAGTTTAACCTCATTTAATATTAAATATAAGGAAAAGAAAGATTTTGCCTTATATTAGATGTAAACATAGGATTTTTATCTCTGCATTTCTATAAACTTCAACGCTAAATTGAAGTATAATTTTCACAAAGAAAACTTTGTGTTCAGATTTATGGACCATGGGTCCTAATAGCTGGTATGCTCAGTCAAAATCTGCATGCTACACAAAAGGGCCTCTCTCTTTCAGCGATCTAGGAGGAGTCTTGTCTAGTGGGTTGAGTTCTGGTTTTTGGAAGGGAGAGCTTTTTGACAAGGGATTAAAATCCTTGGGTTGAATATTTATTTTTCTTGAAGGTCTTCAAATACTTGGACTCGGTGCAAAAGCGTCAAGATTCTTCATTCCGTTTATCGTCTGAACTCCATAACAGTTCTGCTTTTAATTATCAAGCGTTTGCCATGGCAGCGCGTATGATAGAATTTCAGCAATCCCAGTTTACAATTAGACATGCAAAGAGATTTGACCCTTTGTTATTAACTTTTTCTTGTTTTAACATCTAAGAAAAACATATCAAAGAAGAGAACAGAGTTCAGGAACCAAAGAGCTTCTGTCAGGTTACTAATCAAGACATAAAGGGCCACCATTGGCATTCAAGCAATATGATCCGAGTTACACTGATGCTCACACATACACATGCATTAATACACAGAGAATAGGCCAGACTGATTAAACTTGCATCCACGGCTAATTACGCCATCAAATGTCAACCTAGCACAGCATCGGCGCTGAAAGCCAGTGTAATTCGTTCTGCACTAATTTCCCTCACAGAGAAATGAGGGGCCCCACAGATGCATTTACTGTCTGCCATAAAACTTGTCTCCATTAAGGAGCTAACTGCAGAGGAGAACAGCATGAGAGATTAAGGAAAAGACGGAAATGAAGGATGAAAAATAAAAATGTGTTCAATGTAAGAGGAATTTGTATAAGACATAAAAAAATTAAAGGAGGACACAAAACAACTATGCCATTTATGGTAAGAAATTGGTTGTTTTAAAGTTTGAATTAAAATGCAGGATCTCTCTTTGAGCTGAAAGCCATTAGGCTGGATAGTGAGACTGCCGAAGTGCGGCAAATATATTTCCAAGCTCAAATGCTGATACAAGACCGAGAAAAGTATGAGTACAGATTCAGCTCAATATTTAAAATGTTATTTAAAAAACAGAAAAAGCACATTCCTTGACATGTGTTTAATGAATTTAGTTAAACTTTGTGGGATGGAAAATGCTGAGCATTAAATCTTTTTCAGACATTAATAATAAAAATCACTATTTAAAAAAAAATAAAACACTGACACAATTTCCCTAAGGACAGAGCTTAAAATACTGCCATTAAATAAAGCTAGTACTGTTCAAGAAACACTTCCTGCTCTAATTGTGCTGAATCTGCAGTGTTGTCTGCTTCACTTTCATCCACTTCCTCAGTGAGTCACTCTTCTTGTCAAGAAGATTACATTCGGGAAGCTCTCTGTCGTTTTAATTATATTATGTCATTGCATCCTGTTAAAGACTGTTGTGTACCAATGGATGGACAAAGACATAGTCGCCTTTTGATCAGTATCTCATCTCTGTAAGCTGGAATCAAGTGGTGGTCTTTGAAGTGGTTGATATTCACTCTGAGGACAGAACACCCAAACCCCCCCCCAAAAAAAACAAAAAAACACATAACATTTGTATCTCAATTTTTTGCATCGATTGTTTGTATTGATATTTGCCATGATACTGACTCAAAGTCAAGGCAAACCACATGCTCGAACATATGACAAATGTAATTTGATTAGATGTAACAAATTAACTCCATTTCTTATAGTTGGAGCTTCATTCTCTTTTTCCATTGATGTTATGAGTATTTACTGTGTGCATATAGTCATGCGATGTGTCTAGTGTGTGACAAAGTCTCATGGTGCTTCATGGCTTTGTTATTGTGTTTGAAAACTCTTGATTTCTAAGCACACTATTTCATTTTGCAGCTAATTGGTCGTCATCATTTCATGGGAAATGCCATAAAGGAGTGTTTTCATACCTGAGGTGTTCTTTTAAACAAACTATAGTTAGTTTCACTCTTTGGTGCAGATCATTTATATAAACGTGACCACAGCAATAACACTAGGGTATGGAGAAAAACAACCACACCAAGATCGTTTGGATGAGGTGATTTCAGTTCGGTTCCAAAGTTTAGAGAAGTTCGTTTGTGGTGTGAATGGAATCTGACCTCAGTCAAACAGAGCTTTCAGGTGTACACTAAAAACTTGAGTCAATGCAGTAGAATAAACAAACTCATAAACAACAGTGGAGTGTCTTTTTCTTAAAGCATACTAGTATGTGCTATATGCATTTAATTGCTTCCATCAGCTCTGAGTAGGAAAAATCATTCAACATATTTTTGACAATGAAAAATGTCAAAAATATTTTCCACTTTGCTTCTGGGAGGGAAAAAAGAGGGTCTATAGATCACCCTTCCTTCTTCGAAGACACATGGACTAAAGGTTTACGTTATTATGACCTCCACCAACCTTTTCGTAGTATTTAATCTCATAGTCCAGGATGATGCCGTTGGGTCTGTCTGGTTCCTGCCAGGACAATGAAACACTGTTTCGAGATGTCTTCTCCTTTCGGATCACTGTTACTGGAGAGGGAGCTGGGCCAGCGACATGGACAGACACAAGGTGTAGGAGGGAGAGAGAAGGTTCTGTTAATGTAAGGTTCAATGGAAGTTCAGGTCCTGAATACTGGAAACTGTCTGTAGCCCCTATTAGCCTAATTCAGTTTGCTGAATTGTAAGGGTGAAACATGGACAGAATCAAGACAGATTGATTAGATAGATAGATAGATAGATAGATAGATAGATAGATAGATAGATAGATAGATAGATAGATAGATAGATAGATAGATAGATAGATAGATAGATAGATAGATAGATAGATAGTATAATTAAAGTTATTATACTTTGAAAAACAAAGAACATAACCCACAGCTCTGCCTACAGTTTTTTATACTCTTACCAGTACCCTGTTTTATATTAACATTCTTTCAATTGAGGGAGTTATTAGAATATAGAGTATGATAAAATGAACAAGGCTTTAAAGACTCAAATATACTTCCAAACATTTCAGGAAAAAAACAAAAAAAAAAACAAATAAATAATACGCCCAAAACGGTAAAGATCCAGCAACTAGTTAACTAAATAAGTTGCACATTGTTTTTTAAAGTATAGTAAAAAAATATTCATCGTCTCATTGACCAAACTTTTACTGCAGTTTCTTTTCTTTCAACACATTTTTGGAGGGCCCGAGATTTTTTTCTGTGGAAACATTGGGAACCTTTTACTTCCTTGTCTCCCTCCACTGTCCTCGTCTCTTTTGGTTTGTTGAGCTCTTCTCCTTGCCAATTTTCCTTGCCAATCCTTCACCCATGCATCACCTTGCCTCAGGGAGTTCACATGGTCCCAATCTAGAGATTCTAACACATCTCTCCCTTTATCAAGCATTGCTTTCCTCCCTCATTCTGCTACTCTTTTTCTATCTCCCCGTCTTTTTCTTTCTTTCTCCCTCTCCCTCTGTCTTCTCACTCCCTCTCTTATTTCCCTTTTTACTGCTCTCTAATTGCCAGGCAGCTTCGGGCCCAACTCAGCATCTGAGGCATGGACTTTTAATTTTATTAGACCACAGGAAAAAACATGTTTGTCTTTGAAATGTTCAAGCCTCTCTTGATTATGATTATATGGCCACAGAATGCGTCTGAGTGTGCATATGTATGCTTGTGTGTATTTCTGTGGGAAGTTATTTTTTCTCCTGTAATGAATCCAGATGGGTAGAATCTGTTTCTATACCCCCATGCGCCTCCTTCCCTCCTCCTCACCCTTTGGCTCCGACAGCGGGGTGAGGCTGTGCTTTTTATTGGCTCTGTGGTTTATGGTGGTAATGATTTACTGAGTCTGGGTCGCTTGGAGGCAGCTTCAAGTTCCTCTCCTCCTTTTTTTTTTTCCACACCCCTCTTCTATCTCTCTTTTAATGTCTATCGCCAAGCACTTAAATTCCTGTCACTCTCTTTTTCTGTGTAAGGCAAAACTGTAAAAGTGACAAAGCATGGATATAACGGCTTTCAAAACTGGCAATTCATGTAATTCACGTGAGGAAATAACATACAACAATCAGGGGCAGTGGGTAATGATTGTTGATTGTGCGTACTTTTAAAAATTTTGTTACCATTTTTAACTTTTGCATATTTTCTCATAATGATACTGTAAAAAAGTAGGCAGTGCAGGGTATGTACCTCATACATGTGAAATTAAATAAAATTGTTTTGCAAATAAACACCTGAAAAGTGGGATGGTCATCTTTGTTTGACCTTTGTTTACTGTGGTAATCCTATGATCATACTGTGCTAGTGTTCATGTATGCAATTTATATCTCAGTATTAAAACTTGCTGTTATTTAAAAGCCTCAGAGGAAAAAAACAAGATAAACAGCTGTTTTTGAACATGCAAGACAGGTCAGTGTTCGTTATGCAATGATATCCCAAACGTTCAACTGTACAATCAATCATCTGAAGAAAGAAGTAGAGTACATCTGCAAACCTATCAAGACATGGCCATCTACCTAAACTGACTTGCTGGGTGAGGAGAGCATCAATCAGAAAAGAGCTCGGAAGGCCTATAGTAACTCTAGAGGGACTTCTGAAAACCACAGCTCAGAGGAAATCTCTGAGGATCTTCACTCCGTAAATGTGATCTACGAGGGTGAGTGGCAACCAGAAAGACAATGTTGAGGGAAAGCTTTAGGAAGTGCACAACATGTAAGAAAGGTGATTTGGCAACATGAGATCAGATTCAAAGTTTTTGTATATGATGCAACAAGCTATGTGTCAAGAAAGGCTAATGCTAAACATTGCTCCAAACAATACACTGAAACATGCTAGTGGAAGTGTCATGTTGTTGGAATGTTATTCAACTCAATGAACATGAAAGCTTGTCATGTTTTTTTGGAGTGATGAATGGAGAGAAATACATGGCAATACTGGAATACCTGATAGAGACTGGAAAAGACATGAAACTGAGGAGATGATCGCAAAGTGAGAAAACTTTGAAGGAATTTGACTTGTGAAGGTATTTTTAGTCTTTAAAGTAATCAATACAAAAGCTGTGACACAAACAGCCATGTTACGTCAATACAGTAGTTAAAATTAGTTTTCAACATGTATCAGTCCAAATATGATGCTCCCATGCTTTTTTGTAACAACCCTGCGTGGCCAAGTTCAACTGCAGTTACGTCTCACCAACTGTATTCATGTGTGGATCACAGTTACTGTGTTGTTAGCATACTTATGACTGCAAGTGGAGGGCAATGGAGGAGAGAGGAGGAGAGCTATCTGACAGCACCTTGACAGGCCAGCCAGGACACACAGCTCCTTCCCAGGGAAACACTTAATCCAGCTTTTAACAGCTTTGGCATCTATAGTTGTGTGTGTGTGCGTGTGCACGCATGCATGTGTATTTGAGAAAAACCAACAGACGGATGGGGCTGGTGCCCTGACATACCTAATCCTTGTAAACTCTCAGGGTTGATGGAAGGTGTGCAGCTGCAGTCTGAGATATTTGTTAGAGAGCAAGAGGTCTGTGTGCGTCTGTTTTGAACCGTGGGCACAATGTTGAGGTGCGTGCTTTGTGTTTTTATGTATGTGCTGCCATGTAATTTAACTCTGTGTTTGCTAAGTACTGATAAAGGAGCTGATCGCTCAAACATTGGGTTGGTGTTTAAAATTCCTAACACATGCAGGCCCCTTAGTAGTGATAAGCCTTCTCTAAATCTAATATATATGCACAATGAGGAGAATACCCTGACTAACAACACGGATTATGAAGCTTGCTAAAGAAGGTTTTAAAGCTTTACTAAATTACCTCGTCATTCTCTGTTGAAGTACTTTTTTATACTTGATTTTTAAACCCAGCTGACCTTTATCCTTGTACCAATAAACTGTTTGTCATTTCTTTGAACTCATCTGCACTAACACAACTACACACTCAAAATATATATATTTTTTTCTATGACTCAAAAGAACAGCTAATTGATAACATGTTCTAAATCCACTTGCAGCAAAAAAACAATGAATATAAACTTTTCCTCAATGTCAGCTACCAGGAATAGGGTTTGTTATTGTTTTTATACGAAAATGAGGGGATGGACAGCAGAAGTTTGCTTTTATATTTTGTTATCAGGTAATTTAAAAATAAACAATTGCAAGCATGTCCTAAATTGCAGTGAAGATCTCCAAGAGCCTTCAGTGTATCCATCTTTAAGAGGACCCAAATATAAAAACAGAAAAATAAATTTAAGTTTCAAGTTCCAATTAATCAATGTAATAGTGTCAAACCAAATTGATTCTGAGTTTTAAAGCCATTTTGAACAAGGAAAAAAATGCCAGTCATGAACTCATGAGATGATGATAAAGCAGAATATTCTGCATTCTGTTCTCAATACTTTCAGTCTCAAAATAAATCACAGCAGAAATTCTAATAAATGTTCTGATCAATTCATGGGTGTTTTTATTATCTGCAATCAATCTGGTCTACAGATGGTTCACACACATTAAAAAAGAAACTAAAGATTGAAACAAAAGCAAGACAAAAATAGTATTAAGCTTCAATGTAACTTTACTCTGTACATACAGCTTTATAGCAAAGATCTTGCCTTTTTCCAATGATTTTTATTATGATGAGTTTGATGTCTGTGCATACTCGATCACCTGCCGATTGTTTCACAAAGAATTCCTTTGTGTGAGAAATGTCTTTAACATGTCTCAAAAATAAAATATCAGTGCAAAGGGACAGTTAGAAAGAAAAATCACTTCGAACAAGGGAGGAACTTCACCAAGAAGGACCAGAGGCGTGGGAGAAGAAACTATCAAGCTCCTGGCTGCACATTTAAAGACTGTCTGTACAGAAAGAGGGAAGAGGAAGTAAAAAGGAAATACAACGTAGCGAACTAGAGCTAGATCTTTATGCATTCCTTGCTCGAGTCAAGGATTTCTGAGGTTTGGCACTAGATTTATTTCATCCGTGGAATTTCACAACAATGGTTCTCTTTGCCTCCTTGTTCTTCAAAGAATGTGGATAGAGAAAGATGTTTGTATGAAAAGATTGATGGGAGATTTAGGAGGTCATCCTCATGGTATTAGAGAAAAGACAGTTCTTTAGAAAAGAAGGAGGTTATATGATGCTAGTCGTTAAACAAGAGAAATGCAGTTGGGGAATAGGCTTGTAAATGTCCGGATCTGATGGCTTGAGTACATATGTTTGGAGCGTATCAAATTTAGGTTGTTATTATATGATAAGAATCACAGGATATACGGTGAAATGTTCTTCTGTTCGTATATAATGTCCTGCAGCTGTTAAACATTCCTTTGTTTTTTTCAAGAATCTTGTTTTGTTTTACCTTAGAGGATTAAGAGCAAATCCACAAAAAATGTGCCAGATATCACTTCTAGATTTCCTTATGAAGCAATCAGCTGAGCATGAAATCCTAATCTATAAAGCATCTTCTGATGCTTACGTCCAGCGGCATAATTCATTATGTCCCAAAGTTCAGATCATCTCAATTTGTTTATTTGAACATGACAATGAGTTCACTGTATTCCTCTTGCTTCCATAGTCTGAAATATTTCACTTCACTAGATGAATTTGCAATGTGGTGGAAGAAAACATCTTGTAGCTGTCAAATATCTAGCAACTGCTTGATGCTTTCATGTCAACATGGACCAAATTAAACACATTGTTAATTATATGCCACAAAGAATTAAGACGTTTCTTTTTTAAAACTGATGCAGCTCTAATGGCAAAGGGAATCCAATGAGGTACTAGCAAAGCGTCCTTAATACAATGACTAGTGAGTGGTTTAAAGAAATTAGTCAGTCTAATTTTTTAAATCATTCCTACCTGCTTGATTGGTGGTAATGGTAACAGCAGCATATTGTCTCATTTTGGGTGCCAGTGATGATACGCCATTCTGTGCTTCAATCTCAAAGGTGTAATTGGTATGAGCCAACAGGTCACCCACTGTCACGGTGGTGTTGTGAAGACCAGTCGCTCTTGGCAGAAAGCGGACGTTGCTTCGACAAGGCTCACAATTCAGAGTACCGCTGGTGCTCCCATTGGCAGCAGCACCCCGGCAGCGTTTGCACAGGACATTAAAAGTGATATCCCTACGTCCTCCTGTGTCCTCCGGCCAGCTCCAGTCCAGGATAACTGAGGTCTCGTTGATGGAGGAGATCACATTCCGGGGAGCAGAAGGAGGTCCTGATGGGAGGATAAAGGAAGAGGTTGTGGCAAGGTGGAGATGTCAATTCGATTTACAGAAGGGAAGAGAGTTTGGGGTAAAAAAAAAATGTATTACAAACAGCATGAGGGGAGTAAAATTGTTCAGTATGCACCAGCAATCTAACTATATAAGTTAATGTTTCACTAGCAATTTTATTTAAACAATGGTAATTAGATTTATGACAAATGCTTTGGCAATACAAGCGATGACAATGTTTTGTTCATATTTGCATGTTTTGTCATTATTATCCTCTTTTATTGTTTTGCTTTAAGACACATTATGTCTCCCTAATAAAAGGATTAAAGTGTGTACAATAACAATACAGTCATTTCAAGTTCCCTTTTTGAAAGCCTGACAAATATAGTTTGTAGTCATACTTCAGCTGGAAGTGTGAATACAACAGAAAATAACTCATATCTTCCTTCAGTTCCACCTATGCGCAATCTGGAGTTGTGAGCCCTATTCAGTGAACAGTGAACACAGCTTATTATCTCTCTGTGCAAGATGCCTGAAGATGGCACTGTGTTTATTGTCATGGAGAGTGAATTTGGATTTGAATTTGATTGTTCATTTCAGTTGGTTGATAAAATCCTTTTGCCATTTCAGCAGGAGCAGTGGTGGGAAACAATCCTCAAAGAAACTAAGCCTCCCAGTGCTTTACACTGAATAACTCAATCGCTGCAAACCTGATGTGAAAGGTATTGAAGCCTTGGAAGAAGGTCAATGTGGTCAGTTCTATTTAAAATTCCCTAGAGACCTGTCCACAGCGGTTCACATCTGCTACCAGGTACTTTCACACAAGACCAAGGACTAGACAGGAACCAGACTTTAAGCTTTAAATCTCGATTTAAATCAGAAGACATTTTAAGAAGATTTTTGGAATGCAACCGCCATGTTTCAGATGTGGCAAAACACATCTTTGAACAGTAAATCAAATATGTATTTTGTCTCAGAAACAACATGCATTAAATAAACAAGCAAAAGTGTTTCACATTTTAACTTTTGAATTAATACTGGTCAGTTTGTGCCAGTTTTCTTCTCTGAAACTGCAAAAAAAGCAGGGTATGTCACAGCATCTGAAAAAAAGCAGTCATTCTTGACGGACATACAAAAGTACAACGCGCTATTACAAACAGATTTCCAGAGCCTCAGATCAAATCTGTGAACAATGCACAGAAGACAAAATAAGACTGACATATAACTCAGTTAAATAGTGTGCAGGCGGGGGAAGAAAAGGGAAGGAAATGAAACATTTGGATTTGGATTTTGAGGTAAGATAACGTCCTTTGTTTAAACAGTTTAAATAAATTCTCCGGCTAAATTCGGTTTCAGATTATTTATTTTTTGATAGTTTACTTTAAAGTAAACATATGGAAGCTTAAAGTGAGCCTTTTCAGTATTTGCAAGTCTAATAACAATCATTTGTGGTGCAGGTGTTACAGGAACTCCAAGATAAACAAAAAAATATAAAGGCAGATTCCAAATATGATAATAAGCAAACACTATTAAAAATGGGCCAAAAGTGTCAGAGCACAATATCTACAGTTTAGTTCGACACAGACATGCATATTTAAAGTAATGCAAAAATGAACTACTTTGGGTAACAAAGCTGCTAAGACTCACATGCCTAATATGTTTGATATTAAACAATGAAGAATGGTACACTTTAGTATTTCTCCTCATCTGCCTGCGCTAACAGTTTAATTTTCCCTCTGCCCCTGATTTTTTTTTCTTCCAAGAATGTACATTTAATTTTCCGAGTCATCTTGAAACAACCTCTAGAAGGCTGCTAACAGTAAATTTCCTCTCCTGAGATAATCACGATCATTATCTCTTAACAACTCATCAATTCATTTTCAGCTCTTGCGATGCTCCAACTGTCCCAGTGAGGTGAAATTTGCGTAGTTGACAAGATGATGTTGAGATAATCACAACGGGGACCTTGCGTGACTGTCTTTCTAATTAAGATTCTGTCTCTGACTGTGGGCTCTGATTTATACTTTCTACTGTTCTCCGCAAAGCCCATTTTGTAACGGATGCATTCATAATCTACCATCAGGGAATGGGGTGATTTATAGTTTGGAAGTGAAAGCATTTTGGAATGCTTGCAGGAGGCACCTGCATCTGTTAGCCAACCTCAGAAATTTCTATATTAATTTCTCACTTAACTTGAAAATACTTGGATATTTTAGAATTTCACAAATTCATAAATTTGCAAGAAAAAATCTCTGATTTTTTATGATGAATGACACAGATTTTTAATAAAAAAAATTGCTAATAATTTAATAAACTTAGCATGTTGTCTGACATTGTAAAGTCAGAAATTTGTAAGAAAGGAACTCATACATTATGGTTTTTAGAAATAGATCATTTCTAAAACGCATCACAGCTGGATTTGTTTTCTGTATCATCACATATCATCACTTGATGAAGTGATGTCGCAACTCTGTCTGGATCTGTTTGAGGTGTTCATGGCAAATGTTCTGACACAGGAAAAGACCCAAGATGGACCGCTCACATGTAGAAGATATTCTGATGTGCATTTCATAATTTTACCAATTCAATATTACAGGACATTCGGGATCATTCATCACAAATTTCAATAAACTTCCAAGTTTTAATTGAAATGTAAAATTTTTTCAATGTCAGAGAATTAATTTTAATTAACTTTTAATATGATAAATGCATGTTTTAATCATGTTAAACAGTTTTTTTCTCACATTTATGGCTTCTTGACATACAATATAAAAGTTTTGTACTGTAATTATGTGAAATTAATCTAGAAATGTCTGAGGTGTTTTAGGTAGAAGTGTGGCCACATTATTTCTGCTTTTATTTATATTGGCCGTTATACTCCCACTTCCATTACTGTTTTGAAATACTTCCACAGCTGGGCCTCCAAGTAACTCAAATGTTGCAATTTAGCTCCAGGAAGTTTGCAAACCCATAACATAATCATCTGGGGTTCCCAAAATGTTTAAAAAAATTAAAATCTTAAGAGTATGTGAAACTGAATTTGAAGGCGGTAATATAAAATATTCATGTAAAAAATGCTGATATCTATGTACTGCTAGAGTAAAAAGTGGCTTGTTCTGGAAACTACACATATCAATGTGTTTTATATTAACCAAAAATGTTTATGCTAAGAAGAGTCTGAACACACACTTACGTGTACATGCCATGGAGGCAGGATCCCCTTCAGCCCGGAAATAATTTTTCTCACAGCCACAGTGCAATGACCCCTCATGGTGGGAGAAGCTATGAGGCGGACACTTTGAACACTCTATGTTGCCGTGGGTAGATTTGTAGAAGCCAGCTCTGCACACTGGAAACAAAAGAACACAGACAGATACGTGAGCATCATGCTGAACCAGCACATCGACAGCTATATAATAGCCTGATTCTTCTGCGGGGCAACTACAACAATAGCAAGTGCAAAATGAAAGATGGGGAGTGTTTAATGCAGTTTGTCTGTCACACACGCACATAAACATAGTGTGGGAAAAATACTGAATGTACTGTAAATCTGCAGTTATTGAACCAGGAACCTGCTGAATCCTTGTAAAACAATATTTTTCCGAAACATCTTTGTCTGAGTAGCTCTCAGAATGCACAACATGAATAATGCAAATTGTCCCCTTAGATGAAAAGGATGTTCTCTTTAAATATCTGTGGTATTAAATTTGCACTCAGAAGCTCTTTTAACTCCTACTCAACAAAAAATATGTTGCAATCCGCCCAACTGGGGTGACACTTCACCAACCTATATTGAATTTGAAATTATATGGGTGACGGTAGGAGGGAGAAATCAAGGGGAAGTGGAAAAAAATAAATCAGATGTTTTATTTTTTTTTCCCCCTGTAAATTCTTCTCCGGCTTTGTTTCACTTCTTCTTGTTCTCTGCTTCTTTCTTCTTCTCAAAAGATTTAAATCCCTATTATTCTGTGTCCTCCCACTCTGAGATGAAGAACTTCTTACTGACATACCTAAGCTGCTCTGTTATGTTAACCTCAAGATCACTATGACTCTAAAAACTAAAAGCAGGCACTCAATCCTTTATAATAAAACCATGTTAAATCACTTAATGATTTAATAAAATTAAAGTGATTCAATCACAAGTACTTAACAGTGATGTATGTTGACAAACAAGCATGTTTTCTTTCTCACAAACACACACACCCGTGTACCTGCACACAATATTAAATAAATGGCTAACAGCAAAAGCAGCAAGCCAGCAGAATGTGTGGGCTCAGCAGAACAGGCCTGACAGATCCCAGTGGTAGACAGCGCAGTTCTGCAAAAGCCAACACTGCTGATATTACTCCCATATCCATCACTGACACTGCCACGCCAAGGTCCCCACGCTGCACTAAATACTCAACAACGCATACATGTGCAGGGCTGCGTGGCAGCAGGTATGCTCCACTGTGTGCAGGGTAACAGAAGGAGGAGTGGAGTTTAAATAGTTCTGTGTGCTCCAGCAACAACAAAGCTCCCTGACAAATGCAGGACAGACCACCGTGATTGGAAAATACAGTGTGAAATTAAAAATGACAGCCAGCATTCCTGGCCAATCAGGTAGTAGAAACTTTAGTAGATGCTGGGTTGTGGACGTAATGTTCCTGGGATAGGAAAAATACATCAGAAGAAGAAGGTCAAATAAGATGTCTGAAGTCCAAACAGCCAGATAAGTTCAATCTAACAAATATTCAGAAATAAAATTTGACATGACAAGTCCAGCCCAAGCATTTCATCGCTGCATATCACTAATCAAAATTGCCAAATCTATTTTAATGAACAATAAACCACTTGATTTAGCTTCAACTAAACTTATTGTAACACTACGATACGAGGTAAATCTGTGTTACCATGAAATAGGAGGTTTGGGTGGAGAAAGAGCAGAACACTGAGAGGGAATAGCATAGCTGTCCAGACAGAATCTGCATCTGCCCTTCCTAAAAAAGAAAAAAACAACAAAGAAGAAAGAACCCTAAGGCGCAGCACAATTCCTTAGCTATGGATCAACTTTAGTACGTAACCCATCTTGTATGTTACCACATTAATTGAAGGGTAAAATAATCATCTTACATTGTCAACTAATTTAAACTTTTTGTATAAAAAATTGTAAGCCACTCAAATGGAAACATTAAGATTTAGATATTGACGTTGATAAAAAAAGTAATTCAGATTTGTGTTTTAAATTGTAAAACGTTTTACTTTCAACCCACATGGTAATGGCCTAAATAAATGTGCATTTTTCCACTTCAGCTTTTTGGACTTTAGCAATCTGGTTTTAGCTCTGAAGCCAAACTTACTGGCTCCAAGATAAATTGAAACAAATCTCAAACACAAATGTCAACATATGGAAAAACATCACAGATAGGAATATGTTGCTGTTGTCTCTGCTAAATTGTTACACTTTTGGAGGATATTAATGTGTTTGGCTAAAAATACCTAAAATGTATCTATAGACCAGATTATTGCTTTTACTCAATGCTAAACATTGGGAATAGAGGGATGTCCTTTTCTTCCATCAATAGCTCTTAGAAGCGTTATTTGTTCCAAGAACACCTCCTCTCTTAACACTTCAAACATGCCAAACTCACACATAGTTTCCACTTTCAGTTGTTATTTTTGTACTCCTGATTTTCTTTTGGAAATATAGCAAAACTGAAATGGGAAAAAAAAAGTTTATTTTCTTTCTTAGTGAACAGTGCCTAGTAGAAGTATTCACACTACCACATTTCAACACCAGACTTTTTCCAAATTTTATTAGGATTTTATGTGACAGGCAAAGACAAAGTCATCATAGCCATAAAGTAGATGGAAAATATCTGGTTTTGAATTTTTATTCAAAAGAAACTGGAAAAGTTTGAATTTGCTTTACTCTGATATTTTAATCAAATCCAATGCCTTTATAATTTATCCATCTATAATATAAAGTCCACAACTCTGTTTACAAGACAACAATTAGTTATGCATTCCACAAATTCAGTCTTTATGGAAGGTCCATCTATTGATTGTAAAGGTGGTAGAGTGATAGGAAAAAGTAAACCTACCAAGTATTGACAGAGGGAAACTGGGTTTCAAGTGATTTTAGCATAAAGTCACCTGTGACTGGTAGCTCCATTCACTAGTTAATCAGTATTCCTGACTTCCATCATAGCATAGAGACAAAAGACACAGCAAGCAAATTAAAGAAAGGTTATTGAAAAGTATAAGCTAGGGGATGGATACAAAAAAATCTTTAGGGCACTGAGCATGAAGTGAACTCCTATGCGTAAATCTTGCAAGATCAGGACATTTTCACAGACTGATTGACTGTGCAAGAAGGTCACATAGAAGAAGGCTTATCTTTAGTCAAATTGATTACTTCAAGAGTGTCGTCTCAGATCTGCCAAAATAGGCAATCAGACAGCTGCAGTTGATCCGGAATGCTGCTGCATTTACATTTGAATTAATGGAAATTAAAATAGCATAAAGCATAGCAGGAAAAAGATATTGTTTGAGCTCTCAGATTACTTATAAAGTTGATAACCAAAACTGGTGTTTTTTTGTGACATTATTATGGTTTATATGGGTTTTTGTTACCACAGACCTGAAACTCTTTTTACAACTGTTGGAAATGGATATTATGGCTCAATTTGAAACAGCCAGGTTTGTCAGAGTAAAAAGACTCTGACTTATGCTGATGGTAAAATCAGATTTTGCTTGCATAAGGTTTACTCTTCATCTTGTGGAAAGTCAAGATGCTTTGCCGTAACATAGCAGTGTGGGGGAATCTGAGCCGAGAGTACGATACCATTTGCAGAAAATTTTTGTTTTGTGTGTGGCCCTCTTCATCATTAAGGGTGACAATTTAAAATCTGTTCCTTTTTTTCTTTTAGTCAAACCATTTGATCTAAACAGTCACAATTTGGGAATTAGTCTTTTATGCAAAGCTATTTTCAGTCTTAATGCCGTGAACAAACAGGAAAATAAAAGAAAGCGTAAGCCCAAATAACACGTGTGGACCGTCTCACTGCCACTGCACGTCCAGGAAGCCTATAACACAGTGATCCATTACCAACTGTACAATATAACATGTAACATGATCGTTTCACTTAAGTGTGTGATGTACAAACATATCTGAACACATGATATGGTGGTTGTAATATAACTGGGGTTGCAATTTGCTCAATCAATGACTTGGGACATTGAACACCCTATCAATAATTAATATTGCTGCAAGGTGCTTTAGTGGTAACATGAGGTCTCTCTTTTCAAGACATATAAGTGATGACCTTATCTAAAGCATGATATACAAAGTACATTGTGTGTCTAAGATGCTATTCTTCCAACAGGTTTGATCATAAGTTTATATACATTCAGCATCTGCATGAATATCAAATTAATTTAAAACGTTTTTAGAATTTGAGGGTGACTGACATACAACGATTTTAAAAGCAGCAACATTAAGTGTTTGAATATATTTTGTATTTGGTCTGATTTATGTAGATACTTTTTGTAGCCATCAACGGGCTTCTGAAATAACCCTGGCTGGATATTTAATCATTTAAGAAACAGTAAAGCCCATATTAATTGGTTATTTTCCTGATCTGGACTTGGCTTTCTGCATAGTCTATAAATTTTTAATAGGGATCTTTCTAGAAGGGAGACTGCTGTATGTATTATAAAACCTGTTTTGATGTGTTTGGGATAATTATGCTTGACTGAAAAGTGAACTGGACCCGTGTTTCAATCATCTAAATGTCGATATGAGGAAAAGTTGATGAATTCGGAGGTAGTCCGCCGTCTTCATTGTGTTGTCCACCACTTACTGTGAAAAAAGACTATCAAGAAGATCCTGTTGGTAGCCTGTGTATAATGTATGCACCCACATATTCAATTAATTAGATTATGTGTTCTAAAGAGTATTTGTTGAAAATAATACAATCTCACATTTCTATTTTTTAAAAAAATGTTTTTCTACTGTAACTGGAAGTAAACGGTAATATCAGTTGAAAGGAGAAAAATAACATCATAACTGACAAAAATAAAAGCTTAAAAACATCAGTCTGTGAGTAATTACTCTGCATATATTTCACTCGTGAATTGAGCTGCTGGAATAAATTAACGTTTCCGTAACATCATTTGGTGAATGGCTGCACATTGCCCATGTATGCACATTTTTTATCCTGCATGAATTCGAGAAAATCAGATATAATTGAAACTAATGTCCCAAATTCTTGCTTGTGAAAATCACCAAAATTCACCATATTTTTCTGGACAAAAATAAAAATAAAAAAATACATAAATGCTTGCATTGCTGTTCAGACATCAGCA